AATTTAATAAATACACACACACACACACACACACAGGCACAAACAAAGAAACACAGAATTGAGAATTTATGTCCCATAAAATGCAACATATCTGTAAAAAGTATCTTAGATTTAAATGAACTGTCATTGAAAATCCCATGTACTCAACATTTGAGCGATAAATAATAATAAATAGTTGGAAAACTTACAGCTGCGGGCGACACGTAAGCTTATTTCCATACATTATGTTAGAGTAACAAAAAAGGATCTTGCTGCGACAGCTCATGTGTCCAACACAATAAAAACATTTCAGTATAAACTCACCCAGCTCACCCTCAGGAACGCAGTCTCGACCCTGGCTTTACTGGTTGGCCATAAAAACAGCGAAACCTCGTTACGCTCATACATCAAAATATATTCCATAAACTAACATAACATAAGCAAGTCTGTGCTGCACAGAATGTTCTATATATGAACATGCAGACGAGCGTCTGTGCCAAAGTATTATATCTAGTAGGTGGAAATGTATAGGTTTTATAAGCGCAGAGGGTACTTGATTAGAGAGGCTCATGTTTCATACAATTAACCTATTTTATTAAAATTACGGTAAATAATTGCACAGACTGTTCAGTTTAACTAATTTTGTTATATAAACGTGTGTGTCCTAAATATTATAATTTTTTAAATTTCAGTTACGAGTTATAAAAAAGAGCAGTACATGGTAGAAAGGAGGCTTACTTTTAATTATTAGGGATAATGATATTTTAAATTGTGAAACTTATCATTTTTAAACCGAAGGACATATATTATAATAACTTAGGTATGAAATTAAAATAATGGATTCGTTTCTTGTTCTTGCCAAAATATATATCAAAACTTACAGGAAATGGTTCAAGGTTATACTAGGAGAAGTAAGATTTGTTGTACCTACCTTTCCAACATTTTGAATGTTGTCCAAAAACAGAAATCCTACTTCATATACTAATGACCGCTACAACTTTTAGTCATATTCGTTTTCTAATTACTGGAGATCGTATTTACTCCTTAGTTGAATGTCGAGAATTATATATTACCACGTATTTATCTCCTTTCAGTTTTGAACTTTGTTGGACGAAGGTTAAAATAGATTTCTTAGTAAAGATATGCCAAAGTCCATCTGCATTAAAATGCTCTACATTTTCTATTACAAATGTCGTCTTACAATCGCAGTATTACTAATGCACAGGAAACCGCGGGTACCGAGATTGGCTTAAAGTTGATTGACATATGTATGATATATTTAAGCACTGGTTCCCGCTTTTCATTAAGCAGGTGGCTACCGTATTCAAACTATGTTGTATAGTGCGTTATAGAAAAATTTATAGTGCGTGATGAAGCATAACACGTAGGTACACGAAAAAAAAAAACGAAAAACCTTAAAGTCATGTCAAATACTCAGGATCCCGTTGATTAATATATTGAACGTTCTTAATAAATTACTTTCTTACCGAATGTCGCAACGCAAGTTAAATTACACAGTTTTATTCCGCTGTGTCGTCCGCAGTTTTCATAGCCTTGCCGCTAATGCTCTATCGATCTGGTAGTTTGGCAACGGTTACAGTCGGTGCCATGCGAAACACGTCATTGGCCGCCCCCGTTACCTCCCTCGACTCGATGATAAACCCCAAATGTTCCGTATGCCATTAACATTCACCAACAGCATTTTACACGTGCATTTCAGTTGGGGAATTTCCTTTATGCAGCTTTAATTAGTTGAAAGGACTTACGTTGTTTGTTAGGTATTTTTGATACATACACATTCATGTCTTTATTGAAATAATAATAGTGATAAAAGTTTTTAATGAAAAGATTTGAGGATTTTGAAATTTATTTTGTATTACCTTTTGCCCTCGACTTTGCCCGCCTTTCCCCAGCGATTGTCGGTTCTTCAGCTAATATGGCCAGCTCACTGCCACTAGCTTATTTAAACATTTTTTTGAATTGTGAGAACTAGGCATCCGTTAGTCTTGAAGCTAGTTGCTAGTTCTAATACGTTAATCCTACGGAGAAGAACAGACAAAAAACTCGATGGACACTCCTTTCCCACACGTCATGACATGTGGGAATAATTCATCTTGGTCTTACAACTAGGTTGGGGTCGGCTTTAAGTCTACTATGATACAGCTGAACTTCGATGTATTCATTGTGGTCATATTAATTAAAAAATCAATATGACGAACATGTTTCTAGATAAGTTTTTTCCAAAAAAAATATCACAATACTGAACTCAATGAATAAAGAATTCCAGAAAAAAAAGCCTATTCTGGTATCTGTATAAGGCTTTATTAGGGTGTGAACTAGTAAGTATAGGGTTGCGACTCTACACTAAATAAACTCTGCCTTACGGCATGCATTACTTTCACCAACCCGACTTCTTTGCAAATGAACCTCATTTCTATAATAGTAATTTTGGCAGTCGAAACTGTTTGCATTTTATAGTGGCTCATGAATATTTCTCTTACTCTCTGCATCTTTTCCATACCTTCACAGTTTGTTCAATCATGTTCGTGTGTTTAGTCGGCTCTTACGACACCCACAGGATGAATAGGGGTGGTGACACTCTATATTCCTTATCCGTCACCACACGGACATTTAAAATATTAATACGTGGAGAAAATTCTTTGTACCCTTTCTTTAACAAATATGTCTCACAAAAGCATATGGCTCATAGAAGTGCAGAAAACTAAATCTTTTAAAGCCAAAACGGTTACATAGAGCTATAGGGATCCAATATATATTTGATTTGTCATGGAACAAAAGTCTATACAACGATAGTTCAAATTATACTGGTCAATTGAAAAGACATTCAAAACGGTCGAAATCAATCCAGGCGAACTCTAGCAGATTTAAATACACAACCAACAAAGCTATTGAAGCACTACCTCTCCCAAGACGTTAGAACTGTTATCAAAGAAGTCCGGGAGCTGATCCGTATTAAATTTACATACATATTACTGACACTGGAATGGTAATAATTGTAAATTACAAAGATTGGCATACACCCAGAAGAATTAATTTCGTAAGATCTTGGTAAATCGAGGAAATCGGTAAAACGAAGTAAGTATTTTATAATTTTAGCTAACGCAGCAACAAAACAAAAAGTTATCTTATAAATCGACTATCTATATCTAAAATCGCTTAACGCTAGATATGTACAAAATTCATTTATGAATTGAATTGTAAATAATTTGGAAACAACATTATTGTCTTTTTACTACAATACCCTAGGTGAGTCAAAATTAAGTCAGGTATTCCTAACTGAATTTTGAGTTACACAATTCCATGATAAATACTGACTTGTTGGTCTAGTAGTCGATTCCCACTCATAGAATTAAGGAGGTCCCTTCTCTAATTCTGATGTTTCTCCGGTAACATCACTTTCTCGATGTCAAGCAACGACTAGATTCCTCAAACCCTGTTTTCTTTGTGTCTTATCTATTGTATCATAAAACTTTAAGATTATTTACTATTGTTTTACACAAAGTTCCAAAGTAGACTTTATTAAAATACAAATAAATATACAATTACTTTGAAGCGTTTGTTTGTATAAGTATCAAAAGTTTCAATTCGACTTTTCCTTTTGTAGAAGGCTGACGGCTCTTGAATAAGTAACCGCTGTAATGGTAGCCTTAAATATTACAGGAGGTACAGATCTAAATTGGGAACCCGTTTCACGTGTCAACATTTTTCAGTACAACGTTTTATTGTAACATTGCTATTGGACTTTTGACTCCTCTGTAGGATGGTGAACTTGCCAAGTTGAAGTTACCCTCATGTCTTCTTTTTGGATTTTTATGAAATTAATGTTAGTTTTGTAGTAGATTTTTTCGTTTATCTTTTGTTTCAAAGTCGGATCTTTATCGTATAAGGTGTAATGTTGTGGGTAGTCAACATACGCAATAACACTTGCGTTAAAGACACAATACATATTTTGTTTTGCCATGTTCTACAATGACATACAACATTTTGTTTCGTTTATACAAGAATACAGCTTGTCAAACTTATTTCTGTTTTTTCTAAAACATTTATAATCCTGAACTCTGTCTGACCTCAGGCATAATTATATGAAATGGAACGTGAAACATACAACAATGTACCAAAAAAAATATCGTTATTAACAATTTATATATATAATTCTTCTGTGCGTGTGTATGTGAATGAACTCCTCCTAAACAGCTGGAAAGAGTTTGATTAAAAAAAAGTGTGTGTTCGAGTAGATTTGAGAATGGTTTAGATTCGCAGTTTTGAACTAAATGCACAGTGTACAGCATATCGTCTGTCGGGTCCGCTTGAATTTATATACATAAATTGTTTGTCAAATGTCTTCGCCGCCTCAATAATAAATTAAAAATATTTTTATGGTATAGGGGACGTGCCGACGGCTCACCTGATGGTAAATAACTACCGACTAAACTAAGTCACAAGTGTGATTCCGCCTTTTGCAGGGGGGTTAGGGGCTCCGGTAACCTCATTCGCTCACTAAAAAGCAACTAAAGAATTGCTCAACGTCGGTTTTCTGTGAGGCCCTGGTGTCACTCTGGTCAAGCCGGCCCATTTATGTGAAAGCGTTACTCTCCCACGATTAAACTTCTCCCAATGCTGTTTGTCTTTTTTTCCCCCCAACTCTCGCACTAGGAATATATCCTGTGTCGCGGGACTTTACAAACATACATGAAACGGACACAAAGAACACCCAAACTTAGAACAACAAATTGTTAATCACACAAAGTGTTGTCCCATGTGGGGATCGAACCCACAACAATCAGCGTAGTAGGAAGCTGCGTGGCGACCGCTAAAACCACTACGCCATCCGTGCAGTCGTTTCTAACCCTGCAATAATTGACTAGTCTTTATTTCAGTTAACTAAATTAAGTTGTTATATCTTTGTATTGACTATATTGTCAGTTACATACTATTAGTTAACGTAGTGGCTGTATTGCCGGTAGAGGCGGGGGCGGCGTGAGGCTGGCTGCGGCTGCGACATGAGCGCTGCGGCGCTTCGGGCGGACGTCGCGGGCGACTCGACGCCCGGCTCCGACGTCGGCGAGCGGATAACACGTCTTTTTCCCAAGTGCCGCCCAAAAAACATGCAGCACCAACACGACAGGTGAGTGTGTCTGGCTTAAGCGCCATCTAGTAAACAACACCCTTACCACATTGTACATTCTCTTCCCGCATCGCGTAAGTAAAGTTTTCGTTTTCGCAATCACAGAAATAAAAAAAAACAAGCTCCTTACAGTATTGTCACATGATGTGTAAGATCTGACATCTTACCTACCTATCTGGTGGTCAACTCTAGCACCGCGCGCGCTCATTAGTCTAATCATATAGCGCTCTGTCGCGGCTTCCTGTTACATACTTCCGTCCCCTTTCACTAAATCTCTCCCACTGATTACGAATAAGTAAGAGAAAAGCTGTTTCACATGAAAAATAGGTATTGTCCTGATTTTGATTAGTTTTTTCTTAAATTATTAAATAATTATATAGTGATTTGCTAAGCAGTTCATGAAAATTTTCTTGCCATGAAGTTATTATTGGTTTGGGAAAGCCACTCGCTTTGAAACCTATTGGTTTCAAACTGAATGGCTTTCCCGAAGCTATGAGAGCCTATATATAACCTAGATAGGAAATCCTTAAAGCCCTTTTTTTGAGAATGTGTTATGATTATTGTTGAATTTATCTATCATTTATGATGTAAGCAAAAAGTACAATTGCTAAGATCTACCCAGACTAACGTACACGAATTTAATTGATTGTTATTCTCTTCTAACTTTTATCTTTTAGTATACCTATCTTTTGAAAGCCACTACTATTATTCATCTGCCCGACGGGCGCCAGGTCAGCCTCTTTTTCTTTCGTCTTCTGGCCCTGACCATTTATTAGCACTTACAGCTAATCTGTCATCCTTATACCTGGCTACGTGCCCAGCCCGCTTCCAATTCCTAGCAAGCGAGTAGATTAGCTCATACCTTACCTTGGTTTTCTTACGAATCGCTTCGCCGTCACGACAACTTCGCTCCATTCTTTTTTGAGTGTCCTGAACTTTGTTACTTGTTTACGATCGAATGTCCATGTTTGGCAGCCGTAGATTAGACATGGTACAATATACAAAAACAATACTCGTTTACTTTAACGGTTTGGTATACTAAAAGGCCATGCGATCTTGATAATGGTGCTAATTCTGTTGATCGAAAACTCTCTAAACTAAACTAAAAATAAAATAAAAAATAGTTTAGTCCTGTCAAATAACGTTTCGTATTCTGAAAACGTAGTACTTGACAGGACTAAACAATTTTTTTGTCATCTTAAGTTTAATTTAGAGAGTTTTCGAACAACAGAACATTAGCACTTTGGTTTATGTCGTTATCGAAATTTCTACATCTAACGAAAACTCACCGTTTTATTGAGCTTTTTAAACCTCTTAACGTAGGTAACTAAAAGATTTTTTAACTAGATTTGTTGCTTCAGCTTGCTTTATTTCCTTTTAAAAGGAGACACTAAATAATAATCTGGATAAACTTTAAAATTATCTTAAGTACCTCTAAGGGCGTACTTATGATTCTTGAGGTGCAGTTGTCCATAGACGGCGTAATTCACGTCCCATCAAAGGGCCAAGTGCGAGTTTATTTCATTTCTAATCGCTCGTCACCGTGACCGTGTTCGGTGCTACGATTGGCCCGCACTGAAATCTTCACCAATCGCAACGCTAAACGCGCTCGCCGTCGAGAGCGAGTTGATATGCAATAAACTTGCACTCAGCCCTCGATTATTCTGTCTGCTCTTTTACCCGTGATTCATATAAACAAGATAATATTAGTACTGTGTACAGTATTGCTTTTTTCCACATTCACACAACGCCATCTAGTCCCAAACTAGCAAACTTATACTATGGGTACTAGACGACTGAGATAAATAAATTATACTCTTTTTTTTGTAAATACATACATTTGAATTCATACTTATATTATAAATGTGAAAGTGAGCTTGTTTGTTTGTTACGCTTAACCACTAAACAAATTTTCAACAATGGAAAGCTACATTATGAGCGAGAAACATAGGCTTCTTTTTACCGCGATAACCGATACACATGCGGGTGGAACCGCAGGCAAAAGCTCATATATTAAATAATATACATAGAAACACCCAGACCAAATCAAACATTAAATGTTCATACACACAAATGTTTGACTTGAGCGAGAATCAAAGCCGCAACCGTTACACAAACCACTACGCCATCCGGCCATCGCTTACTGTACCTTTTAAATAAAGAAATTTTTAAACCACTCATTGTTATATTATCGTGAATTATAAATTTAAAGTAACGACGATTGCGTCGTATGTAATACAATGAATTTAATCTATCTATAAAGTAGCGTACGCCGCTTTACAGGTTGACCTCCAGCCTGGAGGGTCGGGACACAAACAACGTGAACAACGCCTCGTCGGACGACGAGAGAGGCAACGAGGGCCTGGTCATACTCAACTCTAAAGGAGGCACATACAAACTAAGAGACTCAAGGTATGGCCTTCATATATTTTAATACTATAAGGGTTGCAAACGAGCAGACCGGTCACCTGATGGAAAGTGGCTACTGCCGCCCACGAACGCCTGCACCTCAGGAGTCACCAGCGCCCTGGTAAAAACCAAAAGGTTATCTACAGTAAAGAATTTTCGAAAACCCATTTATTTATTTACACTATTATTACATGAAAATAACACTCAAATCAGCCATGGCACATGGACTGCACAGATGGCGTAGTGGTTTGAGCGGTCACCTCGCCGCTGCCTAATGCTCTGTCTTGTTGGTTCGACCCGCAAATGGGACAACACTTTGAGTAATCTTCAAATTGTTGTTCTGAGTCTGGGTGTTATTTGCGTTCGTTTCATGTATGTTTTTAAAGTCCCCCGTGACACAGGATATATTCCTCGTGCGTTAGTTGTTTTTTCAATTTTCATTATAGCGTAACAAACGCCTATAGGCAAACATCACATCCAATGTGTTGAGAACTCCGGAGAACTCGATGTTCAGTACTTAGTTAATAAGGCCCTAGAGACACGAAGAGAACAGAGAATTAATATTTCCATCGTCGAAACACAAAAAAATCTAACTTAATGCTTTAATGCTTGACTCGACTCGAGTCGCCAAAGTCTGGAATGATCTGCCTGCATGTATTTTTCCAATCAATTTTAATCCTGGAACGTTTAAGTATAAATTTAAAAAGTTCCTCTTGGATAGGCATATTATACCACCTTCTTTTTCATCGTCACTTTCCTTCACATTAGTTAGAAATAAACGCCTGTTCCATTACTTTAAAATAAAATATGTCAGGCCTTTAAGTACCAAGAATATTAATAATGGTTCACAGAACTCATGGGTGCTCATTTTTTTTATCGATGATCGATATCTTCGTCCTAAATTAAAACAGCCATCAATAATATTGGAAACTACATCATCTCCAACACTAAAGATTTTTTTCTACCATCAAGATAATGGGTTATATCCTCATGATCAGTGGCTAGAATTACTGTATAACAAAAATATTTTTTAATAGTAACAGTCCACAGTTTTATTTGATCTATCTTAGCACGTAAATAACAAAAATAATAAACATACGTTAAATATAAGTTATGAGCAGGAAAATAGAAACGTATCAAGTATCTATTGGGATGGAATATTTTATTGAGATCTGCAAACCAACTTTGTCTTTTTTCCTTCTTATCTTATTAGGAATTGGTAAAATACTATATGATTATTGCGTAACCTATTCCAAATTAAAAAATATGTTACATGAATTGTATCTTGTGCCATTATTTTTCTCTGATATATAAACGTTTTAAACAGAAATTCTACATTTTTTTTCAATAGTATCAACGAAGTCATCTGCACCGATAGTCATTTTGAAAAATATTTTTTGTCGTCTACCGAAAAAGCTTGTTTTACTACCAGTCTTGATAAAGTTTTCTGATGTTCCTAAGAATTTTAACATCTTATAACATAAATTCCCAAAGTATATCTGTAAATTTCTCTGATTTGCTAAAGGCCTGTTACGCATACGATTTTTGTATCAGAGTAGCGGCTAAAGCCATGCCTATCCACTCGGAATCATAACATACTGTTACCTCAACGTACTCAATTAAAGGTTTCCATCTGAAACGAAATGATTGTGGATATGAACGAGGTGGTACAGTAATTTATAACCGATATCATATATCATTGAAATGCTTGCGATTATACATCCATCCATGGAAGTGCAACTCCAACATACAAAAATATTTCTCGATGTATATTTAGATCCTTATACAAGTACACATTGACAAGTCCATGGACGGTAGTGGTAGTCACTTACCATCCCCTTTTTTTTCACCGGTGGCTATGTAAGACTCGAACCGACTAACCGTCTCGGGTACCAGTAGCCGAGGAACCAGGTGTACCCTAGGAAGGAAACCCCTGGTACCCCGACGTACCTCGGGCTATCTACGGCGACTTAACATCCCCTATGTTTGTCCTCTACACTGTAACATAACAAATAGAATATTAAAAGAAACACGATATTAATCTCTTATTATTACACGTACTTGTTACCAGGATCATAGAAATAGCAGGAGGTCGAGAGCTGTACTCTCAGAGCCGAACGAAGGCTGTGCGCAAGCTGAGACATAACAACACGCACAAACACAACCTCAGGAACAAAGTGCGCTCCCTCACCAAGGACACCGTGGACTACGGCGCAGATAATCTTGTTAACGAGGTAATAAACGAGCACTAACTATCAACATTGTCAGAGCAAACAGAGTGTGTGTGAAATTGAACTTAACAGTAAAAAAAACACAAAGGAAATGAAACTAATGAAAAAAGTCTGTACAACGTCAAAAATTGCTCTGAATTTCTTGCTTATTTGTTTGTTGGTGAAGACTGAAAATGAAGACATTAGACCGAGCAAAATTGATGTTTAGACGTAGTGTTTATTTAGCCTTATTTACTAAAGTAATAGTAAAATATGCCTATCTCGTGTATTATAATACAGTATCATTTAGTAAAGTATGTAATATATCGTACGTGAAAATTATTATCTGTTCAGTACCATACAACGCACTCGAACTATATGCTAACGCTAAGTGAAGTATATGAATATTGAGATTTCATTAACGGGATGTTTCTATAGGACGTCCAATTCGTACATATACCTGTACAGTTGTCTTTGACCTAGAATCACATAAGTACACTCGGTTCCAAAAATTACGGGTCAGTCACAAAAATTGAAATAACTCCAGAACTGTAAAAGTTAGATCAATGAAATAAAAAACAGAATAAAGACTTTTTAGTTGCGCTTCTAATAGCATATTATTTAAACTGGTTGATGAAAAAAACTTCATTAGAAAAACTTATCTATCTTATATATTATCTTAGAAAAGCTCGTGGAGGCAATACAAAGTATTAAATGAAGAAAGTGATGAAAAACAGCAAAAAAACAATCATAAAAAAATGTAATCTTAAGAAAAATATGACTACTTTAGTTTTTTTTTTAATTTAGAGATAAGTTAAGAGTTAGAGAGTTTAGATTTAAGTTTTATTTAATTTTTTATCTGTATAATTAAATTCTCAATTAAACAGTCTTCGTTTCATTAGGATGCCATACGTAGTTCGGGAGATATTCGTTTTTATGTGACTGACCCGTTATTTTTGGAACCGAGTTTATATGCATTAGGTACTTGTGGTGTTTAACTAGACACATGATCATAAAATTTCTTTTACTTGGTTACAGATATCTCTACACCGAATAAACAATGAGCCTAAAAAAATGATATCTCGGCACACGTCGCCTACTTATACGAACGGTGCCCGAGACCGGATCATTGAACAAAGCACTATGGGCATACCGAAGAATAGCTCACCAATACTCGACCCCCATAAGACCACTGACGTTAGCACTAAAAGTAGTCCCATAGCTGTCGTGGCCGACGGCGAAGTGGTCGTTTTCGACGACGGAGACGATTGGAAAGGTGATTGTCATTTGATTTTATTGGTAAAAAGCGAAATTGGGAAATATAATATGTTTTTTCCCCGATAGAGGCGCCACTGTGCTATAGAACACTGGAGCCTCTAATTGTAACATAAATTAAAATGTATAACGATAGATAAGCTATACACACTGTGAAATGCTGATTTTATTTTTGCAAATGGAGTACTTTTTTATAAACTAGAAACAAAAAAGTACTGAGCTTTTAAAACATTAAACAACTAATTACAAATTACTTTCGTAATTAAATCTACAATTTGTGTGAATGCACCATTAATCTATTTCCTTTACTAACTGCATCATGAATTAAATATTTTCTATATATATATTGTCTAAAACGCTGTGGTTGTTTACATCCTTTATTATTTGTTTTACAGTTCATACAACATACACACTTTAACTACTGTTTACATTAATTCTATAACACGTTTTCATTGTAAACTTTATTTATCCAAATCTTAAAATATAAAATATCTTACGTTTATGGTTTATAGTTCGCTAGTTCTATAGGTTTCCAGCTAAGGGTAATAATGGGTGACACTCTAAAAAACGTAAAAGAAACACAAAGAATACATACCCGTTAATAAACTATATCAACAAAAGTTAAAAATAATAATAATAATAATATAATAATAATATAATATTTATTGTTCACAATTAAAGTTAACAAACATAATTTCATGGTTGTTATATTACAATAATGACAAATAATGCACTGCTGATACTTAAAAAGGAAACCCTGTGCTATAAGTACCAGCGACTCTTTATAGCACAGTTTGGTAATACAATGCTTCCACAGACACACAATTTTACCGCTGAACATTAGAAGCAAATTCTGTGGCCACAACCGTTGAATAAATACTATTAAAACTAATTGGTTATTGAAATAAAATGAAATATTAATTAAAGTAAAAAAACATGCATGTTTAAATCAAATTGTGAATAAATATAAGATTGTTATTTTTTTATATATCACATTGATGGACCACGTTCTCTCATGTCACCATTGTGATATAAAAATAGTTCCCACCCACTCACAATGCACCAACGTCTATGCAATTAAACAATCATTCAATTACTTCCCAATTGGATAATCAAAGTTTACAAAACTAACTCACCCCATATCCATCCTATCCAACGAACCATTGTTATTCACAACTTTTTTTTCTCCTCTTTTATTTTCAGTGATATTGAATTCTGTGTCTCTAGGTTTGAGGACGGAACCTGAAGCCAGTGATGATGAGATCGATATGAGTGTTAAGAGAACTTTAGACAATATTAAAAACGGTGGTAGTGAACTAAACAATAAGAGTGAAGTGAGTGATGGAAGTGAGTCGTCTCCGTCGCGTGATGATGTCAGGTTGAGTGATGCGAGCCCTTCAGGGGTGTGGCTGTCAGGGGATGAGGATAAGAGCAGGGTGACCAGGGTGATAGGTGAACTGCCGATTGCTGAGTACGAAGGCTCGCCAAGAAGATATGGAATTGGGTCCCAGAAGACTGCAAGATCGCCGAGGCCTGGATTTCCTCAGGTGAGCTTCTTGAAATGAATAAAAAATTTATCTGACATCTGGCAATTTTATATCCGTCTTTTAATTGGAGTGCTATTCAGCTTAAAATATGTTTTGACGATGTACGGAGCACAATCAAAATACTTCAGTTTGGCAAAATCTGGTTCAAATATTATTCATAACACCCTTTATTAAAACAGTGTTTGAGAAAGAAGGAAGATGGGCGGCCGGTTTCTGCTTATATCTTTCTACTAGAAAAGCTCTAATTGCATTAAAAAATCGATATGATGTTTATGACGATGATCATTATCTGAATAAATGTTATGTCAATGTTTCCTTAAGTCACAAAACTTGCAAACAAGCATTGGTGCTAATTCTGTTGTTCGAAACTCACTAAACTAAAAATCACGAAAAAAAATGGTTTAGTCCTGTCAAACAACGTTTCGTATTCTGATAAGGTAGGACTTAACTATATTTAGTTTGACACTACCAAAATTAGTTAAGTTTCTTAATTTAGTCCATAATTGATCATTTGGCATTCTGTTGTACGTTCTTATCGTCAAACGTTGACTAAAATTAGAAATGTCAGACTAAAATTAAAGGTTATCTACATACATTGCGACTAATTTGTTGAATATACTGTTTAAGTACAAAATTTTGAGGAATATTTTTTTATGATGAATAGCGAATTAATTTCAGAATGTTTTTAGGCTTCCTAGCCTAGTTTTAGATCTTAGCTTAGGGAAACTACTCGTCACATTGAACCTATTTTTCAGGTTTTACCGATATTTATAGCATTTTCTCTGTCCCTCTCTCTCTTAGTAAATTTGACTAAAAAGAAAATATCGGGGAGAGCGAAGCGAGCAGTCAATATATGCATTTTTATGGTACTCTTTACTGATAAACTATCACACTTTCAGGTTTGTACTTTATCTATCTTAAAAATATTATACTCGTATTCCATTTAATCAAATAGAAGATGTAAAAAAAATTATAAATTAGAATTTTATTGTAGGTGTTATTGATGCCTTCTGTCGAAAATTATAAAACTATTTTTGTTTTCAACTGGATTATTACTACTTACGCCATCTGTTAGAAAACAAAAGAATTAATAACTATGTAAACAGTGTTTAGCTAAAAGTAATTAATTTCGCTCTAAAAATCGTCTTGAAAATTATTGCTACGTAGAAAACTATGCTAAAGCACCGCCCTTTGCTAGTTAATTTAATTATTATGCTCTAGCTTATGTATTTATTTTCAATTGGATTGATGTTATTGTTTGTTCATTTTTTTTTATAAAATACCTATTTTATCATGCCAAATTTATTTGGATAGATTCAGAGATTCGGTTTAGTTACTTAGATAACGAAAAAGGTTTACCGCGGGTTGCCAGGTATATAAATTGAGTAAAACTGTATTTAACTGTACTTAGCTATAACTGAGAACTACTATATTTTGTTTACTATTTGATCTATTATATACATTAATAATCATTTAAAATCCTAATAACATCATTTCAAAAGAGTTTTTTAATTCACTTTTTATCATTCGTTCTTAATATTTAACAACGGTAACACTTTCTTTTTTGACTTTTAGTAATGTCAGATTCAAATTTAATGCTGTCTTAATGAACGGTAAATTTATTTCCACTTGACAACAGAATATTATTTTGGAAATCGCGACACTCAAATAAAAGAATTTTAGTTTAGTTATGTCAACAACATAATTATTATTACGAATATATAATTAATAAATCCCATTTTATTTTTAAATTACAGAGGGTAGTAACAGAAAGCAGAGACGTGACTCCACCTTCGAGCTCTACTGCATTTGACTACCTATACGAGTTTTCGGAGACAAGAAAGGTATTGGAAGAGTTTTTCCGGTGCCCCACCACGCAGTCGGGTCAAGCACAACTCAACACCAACGACGAAATTGTTAACTTCCAGGTAAATATATACGTATAGATTTATGCATAAATGCTATTCTGATTTTTTGTTTGTAAAAGAGGCATATTTTAAGTTATATTTTAATGCAAAGTGGTCGTATGTACTTTTATAAAGTTTTTAAAACTGGTTTGGTAATTTTATACTGTATACTAAACTATGTCACCTTAGTTTCGAGATTCGCTTAGCCTTAAGCTTTTATGAGTTAAGTGATTTAGTTATTTAAAATGCTAATATAACTGCTATGTACTCATAGTTTGTTAAAAAAATAATTCTTATATTAGAATCGAGAAAAGAAAATACATTTAGTAATTAATAAATAAAATATTAGAAAAATATTATTAAAAAATAGACTTTAAAATCGAATTAACTTTTCGTTTATTTGACTGACTAATTAAAGCACTGAACAAAATTTTATCCTTTAGAGACAGGCTATTTCTGGTGTTCGCTTTTTTTTTACTTTTTGCTTTTAGCTTTCAACAAAATTGTTTCATTGATTATCTCCAGACAGTATACTACATTATAACGCGTACAGTCTATCCTACAGGAGTTAGACTATGAACTGCGACGTCAAACCGCGGAGTGTCCGTCAGAGAACGGAGTGGAGGGCGGCAGCGAGTCGGAGTGGCCGCAAACCACCGATACCCTGGACTCGCCTCACACCCCACATAACCACACCAACTTTTTAGGACTACAGGTATGTTTAATCGATATAGAAGGTTTTTAATATATCTAAGATATCATTGACATGTCATGCGGCGGGATGAGGAAAATGTGGCAAAAAAGTGTTAGGTATGAGAGTTAAAGGGTACAAGAGAAGAGGAATACCAAAGAAAAGGTGGATGGACTGTGTGAGTGAGAATATAGGAAGGGAGTAAACAGTGAAATGACGAATGATAGAGTAGAATGGAGGAATCATACATAATGCGCCGACCCTAAATAAAATTGGGATAAGGGTAGGCAGATGATGATCATAATTTAGTTGTGGCATATAGTAAACCGCCAATCTGTTTGCTATATGCCACGACTACACTATGGGAAAAAAATCTTTTATAGTTACTAGAACGCGTGTCGATTATATTTTCTGGCTCAGTTTTGTTCTTTCCAGTGCATTGTTTTGGTGTAAAAACACAGAAATTCAGTTTCAAAACCAACTTATTTACTTTTCACATTTTAAACGCCAATATAGAAAAAAAACATACGATGTTTACACTTTGAATATTAAAGATGTGGAAAGTGGTAGGATATTAAAAGGAGAAAGTAGATAAGAAAGGAAAGCTAGAGTTGCTGTTGATACTAATAGATTAAGGATTTGAAACTATACCTCGAGCAGGTAACATTATCTAGATCAGAAGGCCAATTCTCGTAACAAAGTTCATTCACAATTCAGTTTCGATCATTTTTCGATCTCACAGTTACTTTCGTAGTAAAGTGTTAAACATCCAACGTTGACTCCAATGTGATTATATCGGATTGTAACCGAAAATTGAATCGGTAATCTACTAGTCTTAGTAATACTTTACTATTTTACTACGAAAATACCTTTTATGACAGTTGTGAGATCGAAAGTTGATCGGAACCGAACTTTTATTACGAGAATAGGCTTTCAGGTTTTAATACCTGTACGTGTCTCACTGACTCTAGCCGGGAACCACAGCTCACTAATATATTTACTCGATGTGCATATGTATAATATTATGGACACCATTACTTGCTTTGACAATAAAATCGAAATAAGTTTATTTATATAAAACGGCGTGAGAAGACCCCCGGCCGGAAAGAAGTTCCTTTCGCTTTTTGGTAGATGTATACAGTCATTATAATTTATATTAGTGTCGGAAAAAGTCTCGTTGCACATTTTTCGGTCTCGCTCTCATTCGCTTAGTTCGTGTAACGCGCGGTAAGGAATTTCGTTGCAAAAAAAAAACTACGGTATTTTTCACCATAAGAAACATTCCTATTTTCAAATGTGTATCATTATATGTGTATCATTATATGTGTAGACACGCACGGGTGCGCTGGGAGCGCTGGGTGCACTGGGCGCGCTGGGCCCGCTCGGCGCAGACCCGCGCGCTCTGCGCGTGGGCGCGGCGTGGAGCGGCTCGGCCTCGCCCGCCGCCGCCGCCAGGGACGTGCCCTTCGCGCTCTCCACCGACACCAGCGACACGGCCAGCGAACTGTCGCTCATCATCATGGAGAACGAACTCTCCGAGATGAAAGGTATACTCCTGATGCCTTACAGTGATCGCATATGATGTGTAATATCTGACATCAAGCATCGCGCATGCTCACTTTACTAAAACCATATGACGTGGTATAGTAGGCCCAAACCTCCTTTCTAAGGAGAAGCCTATGTCCAGCAGTGGACTATTAAAGGCTGTCGATCATGATGATTTTATTGACAGACAATGAGCACGAGAAAAGCAAAAGCTTCCCCGACTTCATGGTGCAGACTTTCACTCCTTTTCATGAAATCTGTTTCACGAAACGATGTTTATTAATTTAAATTACTAGAGTAAAAGATATATATAATGATAGTAAAAGTAGAAAAATTTATTAGGCATACAAATAATAGGCAAAGAATCAACAGATTTGAAATCAAAATATAACATACAACAAATAGTTTTTTTTTGTAGCTTATTATTTTTAAATAAAATATTCGGTAAGTCTTGATAATTGTCAATCAAATAAATACGATAGGCTTGAAGTCAAAATCTAACATGTCAACATAATTAATGTTGATATGTTAGTTTTTGAATAACTTGCAAAATATTTGATAACAGTCAGGTAATTGTCAATTGACTACAACATAGTAAACTAACTAACTATCAGCAAACTATTTGTAACAAAAATCTAGCAAAAAATTTAGCAATCGGTGGTCCGTTATGTCCATCATTCAAAAGGACTTTTAATAGTGTCATTAAAACTCGAGGTCCGTGTGGTGACGGAGGTCCGTGTGGTGACGGATTAAGAATACTGAGTGTCACCACCCCTATTCATCCCGTAGGTGTCGTAAGAGGCGACTAAGGGAAAACACTACGCAGAACAACAGCACTGTAGAGAGAAGGAAAACTTGACATAAACCCTATTCCAACCAGCACGGAATAGTAGGCCAAAACCTCCATTAGGCTTATGTCCAGCAGAGGACTATTAAAGGCTGTTGATGTGATGTGATGATTAAAACTCGAAACATCTAATATCTCATAAAACTCTTGATTCATTATTACATTTGTGTAATCTAAAATAAATGTTTCAGTTCAAATGGACAAGGACTGTGGATTAGTGGCACAATTACCTATGGTAGAAGATGGGTTGTCATCGGGACACGCTTCTGATACTGACAACAATAACCAATTGAGACAGGTAACTTTATAACCAAATATAAAAATATGGTTCTTAATTCAATTGTATTTTTTTTAATAGGGAAAATTCTATTAGTAAATTTAGATCCCAAAACTACATTATTAAATTACCATCCAATTGTGAATATTACATTTTCATTAGGGAGAGTATGCTTCCCGTTTGGTCCCATTTAAATTCGAAGAAAAATAAGACTTAAGAGTGGTAACTGGTAGTCACTCACTTGCTGAAAGTCAAACGAAGGAATTGCTTCACTTGAACAACGGTTTTCTGGGAGGCCGTGGTGTTACCCGTATCATTTCTCGAGCCGGCCCATTTATGACTATGCATGACTCTCCCACAGTAATTATTTCCTTTCTCTCATCTTACCTATTAACAAAATCTATGAGTGCAGTACTCAACCCAAGTTTTAGTTAACAATGTGAAAATTGACATCCATTGTACTGAATACATGTATACCTATTTTTTTGTATAATAAAATTATTTTATTTAAAAAAATTACATACCTAAGCATGTATTTACCTATTCTTTGTTTATTTTTGTTATTCACAAACAGTGTTATCACTTATCTTGATAAATAATAGGTATAAAATTTTATTGACTGATCCCAATGTTATTCACAAGTCAATAATCAGACAATAGGATTTGTCAATAACGTTTTTAAATCCTGTTCGGCTTTAAAAAATAATTAATATATTTATAAATAATAATTAGGACAGTGTTGTTAATTTTTTAAATTTAAATCCCATCCCATTTACATAATTATGTTTTGTCCATTTACAATAATTACAAAATTCTCCAATTTTACATTATGCGTCAAACCAAACAAAATCAATTGGAGCGCCAATTTACAATAGTTAGAATCCAATGTTAGAATGAATTAGAACACCCTTTTTTTTTGTTCGGCAATCCCCTCGGATATCACCGTGGTGGTTATGTCGGACTCGAACCAACAAGAACGGGTACCAGTAGCTGGGAAACCAGGTGTAACATAGAAAGGAAATCCCTGGTGGCAGAACTTTTTGAGTTTTTGAAGCGTATACAAATCAACGTAACATTATAAGTTAATTATAATAATTGTAATGAAATAAATTAGTTACAAAATGTATGTACGTTTATGAATTATTCCATACAACGAAGTAAAATGTTTAAAGGCTCTATGGTAGACGCCGCGGTCTGTTTGTCAAAGTATTAAAAACAAAGTTGTCAAAACAAGAAAATATGTTTACAAAATTTATATAAATTTTTGATATTTTTAATTAAGTAATTTATGTTATTGGTAATCGTTAGAGTCTAAAGAATTCGGTATTTTATATCATTATGTTGAGCGTCAGCGTTAAATCAAAGGCACAACGTAACTGTTCAATATTTTAAACAATTGTCTCTTTTTCAGAACTCAGTTGTGATAAAAGAGATAGTGGAGAACGGAACGAGTACGGATGCGCACGTGTTGTCCGATGCGGATCTACATTCGTTGGATCCGTTAGGTGAGTGTTTTCAGGGTAATTTTTAGAAAAAAATATTCAATAGTTTACAAAATAGAAAAGACTGTTAACATCTCAGCAGTACCAGCACAGTTAGCAGCATATTGTTGTTTGTTGCAGCATGTGGCGAATCAGCGCCTCCTCCGCCTGCGCCTGCGCCGCACCGCCCTCCTTCGCCGATCATCGTGCCGCTCGTGCACGCGCCGCACGCGTCACTCGCGACCGTGTCGCCACACGCGCCACACGCGCCGCACGCGCCGCACGTGTCACACGCGTCACACGGCGGACACACGCCGCATCACCACCACACACATCATGATGATGTTTATCCGCCAAGGTAGACATATTAATAAACCTAACACACCTCAAACACGGCCGTCTGGTCCCAAACTAGGCAGAGCCTCTTACTATGGTAACCAAACTGCTGATAAACATACTTATATATATTATATCTTAATACACACATTATATAAAATAATTTATATATATACATAAGATAATTTAAACCATATTGGCTATACTCTCGATGGTCGGCACTTGGTCGAACTTGTTGAAATACATTATGTAAGAAAAGTCACTTGTAGGTACTTCTATTCGACAATTTACTGAACATACATGAACTTACCGGTTTCGCCTTATAGCATCCCATTATAAACTACGCCCAGACACAGAACAAAACGATCGTGCTCATCACACAAATATTTGTTCTGGAAATCGAACTTTTAACCTCTGGCCTAGCAATCAGGATCACCAACCATTCAGGCGTGGGGGTGACAGGTGAGGCCATCTGTCACCCTAGCAGAAGCAGGCCGGGGTGGCGGCGAGCGCGTTGCGAAGCGCGCTCGCTTCCAGGGAGCAGAGGGAACATGAGGTTCCCACACGTCTACTTGTTGTAGATGGCCCGAGGTATGTCGGGACATCAGGGACTGCCTGTCTAGGGTATACCTGGTTCCCCGGCTATTAGTACCCGAGACGGCGTGCGGTTTTAGTCGGTTCGAGTCCGACATGCCACCGATAGATGGTATCCGAGGGGATTTCCGCAAGGAAAAAAAAAAAAAGGATCACCAACCATTAGGACAACAAGCTAATCGAATATAACAAATATTTTCATCTCCGTTATCGATTGTCTAAACAATAAATTTAATTATCTTTAATTAACCAAAAGGATATCGAATGATCGATGTTATGACATCAAACTATTGTTTTACTATTATTAAAAAATATTTACTATCAACAGGAAAAGACCATCATCTGCGCAAAGCACGGAATCTGTAGAAATTAAACCAGCAAGCGGAGATGAAGGTAAATTAATATAATTCCTATTGTTTGTTCTTAAATCACCTTTAAAATGAAAAATAATAAATATTTTGCTTTTAAAATAATTTAATGTTTTGTTCTAGATGAAGCTGACACAGATCTTGAGACTGACAGACTGCTAGGTCAGCAAAGAACAGATGATCAAGGATTCTTCGACGACAAAGTGAGTACTAGCAATAATGTTCTAAGCCATATTATACTCAGTTACTTGTTGCCCACGTGGCATATGTCTGCGACGTCATGAGACATTATCGCTTGAAATTGGCTTTGTCCATATCAAGCAGTTTTAAATGAAAGAGTAACTGCTTTGTGTTTTTCGGTCAAAAAACACCACACGTCCTGATTAAACCCAAAGTACTGTATGTTTTGTATATTATTATAGATATTGCATTGTATAATCTTAGATGTAACTGTCCCTTACCATGCCGTGGCAACTTGAAAGTAAGACAACACTCAGCACATATTTGTAAAACATGTTTGTAAACTATGTATTAGTGCATGTTTTGTAGGTTGTCTTAAATAAATAAATAAAATAAAATAAATAAAAATAAAGTTATCGGGCGACGGTCAACTGACATAGAAATGGCGTATGTTGGCGCTCGCAGATGATTAATTTCAATATGTGCCATGACCGATGGATGTCGCATATATTTTTCCCCACGTGACAAAGTCGTAACTAGGACAAAATTACTCTAATTATTATTTTGTTGTTACATTACACTAAAAACATCTGTTTTGCATACAAATGATCAGAAACCTCTTTTGCCCTTTCTACTCGTATAAATATAGGTAGATACCTTATTTGAAAGAAACGAATCCACAATTCATACGAACCACGGTATAAAAAGAATCAGCCTATTTTTAAATCGATATCATCCAAATTATCAAAACTTAAAAATAAAAATCATTTTACGTAAACATTCAAAACGTCAATGAATGCATCGACCTTAGGATTACAAATATCCTTTTATCCTTAAAAACAGACATCACAAATCCGGTAAATTTGATACTGTTTTCCTGTGTGGACCTGTGTGGACCTGTGACTATGTTAATATGTGAATTTCAAATATTAAAAAAAAAAAAAGAAGTCACGAGCACGAGGTAAAAGAACATATTTTTTATTTAAGATCGTTAATTCATGATCATCATCATAAACCTTAGATGTTTCGAGTTTTAATCATCACATCAGATCACATCAACAGCCTTTAACAGTCCACTGCTGGACATAGACCTCTTCTTAGAACGGAGGTTTTGGCCAGACGGGTGGGTATAGGGTTTGTTTCAAGTTTTCCTTATCTTTGCAGTGATAGGGGGTGACACTCCGTATGCTAAGTCCGTCACCACACGGATCGTTAATTACTAATAATTATTAACCGAGTTGCCATTAATAAAACATTTATTGAAGTGGAACATATTTTCTCTAGCATTCCTGCAAATAAAGAGAGATTTTGTGAAATGGGACAGTTGTGTGTAACAGGAAGCCGGGGAAGCCCGAGCTATTTACCATTGGACCAATGAGAGCGCGTGTTTTAGTGTTGGTCGTGTGTTAGATGATAGGTGAAATATCTGATTGCCTAGTGTGAGTAATTTCACATGAACTCGATTGTCACGGTGACAGCATACGGTTTAGCGATTGGCCCGCACTGAAATCTTCACCAATCGCAACGCCGAAGCGCTCACCGACGAGAGCGAGTTGATGTGAAATAAACTCACACTAGGCCCTCAGATGTTAAAATATATTTACTTAGTATGAGGCTCGTTTTTTAATTATTTTGTGTTATATTGAATCTTATACTGACTAATAAAAGCAACACATTTTAAGAATGATTTTTCTCATGAAATCCATTCATCCAAGCTGATTGCCTTTTTTTAATATCATTCCAATATATAAATGTATAATTCAATCATTGCGAATATTGCCCGATCTCTACTACTACTAAAATTGGTGGTTATAAGCAAATCATTAATATCAAAAATCTAGTAAAAGAAAGTATGGAATTATATATTTATTACATGCCTCGATGGCACAGTGATAGTTCATGCGATTGTTGTCTTGAGGTCTCGGGTTCGATTCCCGGGTCGGACCAAATATTTGTATGATCTGCAAATATTTGTTTCAGAGTTTGGGTGCTTTCTAATGTTTAATATGTATGTATTCACAAAAAAAAAAGTATATAAGTATTCTATCAGTCAATCTAGCTTTCATATTACAAGCTCTGCTTAGTTTGAAAATAGATAGCGGTGTGTGTCAGGATTTCCGAAAAACAAAAAAAAAACATACAGAATCGACCAATTCGCAAAGACCCTGGTCACAGGTTAATCGATTTAGTTCGAGAAACATACATAACTATATATTTAAATATAATATATAATTTGTATATTTAAAATTTATAGTTTATGTAATCAATAAGTGAAGTTGCCCGCGGCAAGTTTTTGCAGCGATGCGGTAACTATGTCGCAAAAGCGATACAATCGCGATGCTGCCTCGCTTCAGCTCGCTTAGCGATACAAATTCTTTTGAAATACGCATTTCATTAGCATATTTTAAAAATTCATTCATAATAAATATTTACTGATCAACCAAGAGTACCCAAGCATTAAACAAACGGCACATTATTGTCTTCGTATTATTAATGAAGCGATGTATTCAGAGATTAATCACACCATGACGCAATCATCAGCTGTTATAAACACCAACAGACGGCGCGCGCGCATTGGCCTTGCTCTCTTATTATACTTGGGCAAAGATCAGTTTATGTTTGTGTGAGGGTTTTTTACCTATAAGTAGAATCAAGCTAGCTAGCTATTTGTAAGTTTGAAGTTTAACATATTATTATGTTTATTAAGAACAAACGGTTTTACCTAGGATTAGTAGACTAGACCTACCGCATCAGTATCCAAGTCAAAATTACATCGAAATTATCGTACAATATAATACATGTACGTTATAAAAAGTAAAAAAGATTCAACTCCATCTTCAATTATAGACATGTTACGTTTTAACAATGTATTGTTAAATGCCCTCAGATTATCCAAAAATAACTCATTTAAACATTAAACCCAAATTGTAAATATTTTAAAATAATCACATTTAAAATGATAATTTTGAACAATAAAGCATCAAGCAAGGAATTATTATAAATCACAGAATTTCACATATTATATATTATGTAAAATGATTTCTACCTACGTGTAAATCTGCATATTTATATAATTTTTCTTTGACAATTCATCTGTTTACTTAGCATAAACCGGTGGCGGCTCAGTACTGCAATAACACGCCAACACATCGAGCGTTTGCTTCACGCTATCTTTATCGGAAATGTCCAGTTTTACTGATAACAACTTATTGAACGCTCAGTCTGCGTTACTACTACGTAAATGTATTACGTATCTGTAAAACATGAGCGAAGAGGAAAGACAACCTTGTCTTTGTTGTAATAAGACCGAAAATAACGTGCCAGTTACTGAGTGTGAATCAGTTGAAAATGTGGTAGAAAATTCATGTAAAAAGCTATTAAGTGAGGAAGAAAATAATGAAATTGTTGACATTGACGTGAGTGAAATTACACAAAACATTAAAACTGATAGTGAAAGTAAAGTATGTAAATGTAAACATGTAAACAATAGTGATGGGACGCGTGAAATTTCTAGTGAAAAGGAAACTATTGTTACGAGTGAAGTGACTAGTGCGTCGGAAAATGACGTTGATTCATCAACTGTCAGTCCAAAGGATGTTGTTAATGAGTCAAGTGAAGAGGAAGCCACTAAGGATAAGGTTGGGGTTGTTTTTATTTAATTTGGTGATGGTTTGCTACCCCACGTTAAGCCATTTATTCTGCAGTGACTCAGATGCTGCAGTGTATACCTTGTTGGGCGAAAGACACTTAGGAGGTCAAGCACTCCACGCTATCGTTTTGATCTTCTCATTATTCGGGTTATTTATATGTTTAGGTTTTATTCTAAACTAGCTTTTGACCGCGACTCCGCCCTCGTTGTCCTTTTTTCCTTCCTCAAGAAACGAAGCACATATCTCCATGACAAATTTCATTGAAATCGGTTCAGCGGTTTATACAGACAGTTAGTTTCGCATTTAAAATATTTTTAGGAATTATTTGCTATTTTGGCGGTCAGTTCATGTCTTCATGAGCCTGTTCTAGTGACATCTTCGATCACAGGAAAAATATACGGGTACACAGCCCCGGCCCTTCTGAGTTTCTGCAGTTATCGATCGAGAATTCTTCGAGATCCTTTTACCCCAATTTGTCTTCTGCTATTGATCGGTCTGGATTACGTTCTCAAAGAGTTACTTATTGACAATATAGACGAACCTGTTAGTTTGGTGGTCAGTGACCCTGAACCCAGAATCTGATCCAGTATCCAAGGTTCGATTCCCACCCAGGACAAACATTGTGTGATGAGCACGACCATTTGTTCTGCGTCTGGGTGTATATATACGTTCTATAATATGACGTATGTATTTTTATCAGCAGGTTAGTTACCATAGTGCAGGCTCTGCCTTGTTTAGTATTAGACGGCCGAGTGTGAGATGTGTGTTATTATTAGTTGAGTTATTATTATTATTGTATAGTACCATTGTCACTTATTGCACCAACACCTATTTAAATTGGATGGATTGGTTTAAGAGAATGTTGATACTATATGCAGTATTCTCTTAAGTTATGGTGTTCGTAGAAATGAGCAGGAGATGTATTTTTATAAGGAATAACATTAAACACATGTACAACGTTCACAAAAGATTTAACTGAATTCATAGCTTCCGATTTAAACCGTGTTTTTTTAAGAAAATATGGTACCTGTGATAATTATTTAAAAAATCAATCTTATCCAAAAAGAATAAGCTTTATTTTTCTAGTTCTATCATCTTTCAGGCAATCCTTGATTTTATTGTAGAATAGTTTTGTTTTTTTGTTTTTGCTTTATGGCCAGCCTGACGCCAATCCTCCTTGTTAATGTAACCGTTATAATATTATATATATACTAACTACATGTTTTTGGAACAGCCACACAACTCATGTTCTCATACTGATAAGCTATGCAAATGCGATATTATTGAAAAACCGCAACGTTTGTTAAGTATGTACTCGTAAGTCAAATAAGTACATTATTACATATTGTCATTTCCCGTCTTGATGACGGATTAATAATACGGAATGTCAGCATTCCTATTCATCCCGTGCGTGTCATAAGAGCGCCGACTCAGGGAGCAAACTAAGCAGGACAACAATTTTGACACAATCCCTGTACATCTGGCGAGCGTGGTACAGTAGGTCAAAACCTCCTTTCTAAGGAGAGTCTTTTGTCCACCAGTGGACTATTAAAGACTGTTGATGATGATGAGTTTTTTAATAAAGGGGGTAAACCAGCAGACGGTTCACCCGATTGTAAGTAACTACCGCAAATGGACTCCTGCAAACAAAGAGGTACAAGTGTGTGGTGGGGCCTTTTAGTGCCGCCGGTATATTCTACTTAAGCCCCTAACTAACATAAAAAGTCTTAAGTGTGTGTCAAATGTTTATTGTTCTCTTGTATGTATATTACTATACAAATGTAAGATGTTTTACTTTACATTTAGTGAAGGCACACCATAACCTTATTTAAATATATTAAATATTATCACAGTGCGATAAGGCTGCAAATTATTAGTCTAACTATACTTTTATATTCTGAAATATATTTAGTGTACAATAAAAATCGATACTAATATTATAAGCTAAAGAGTTTGTTTGTTTGTTTGGTTGGTTGAACATGCTAATCTCAGCAATTACTGATTCGAATTAAAAAGATCTTTAGTTTGGATATCCCAATTATCGTAGAAGGCTATAGGTTATACAACATGTTACGTTCAATAAAAGCCTGTGTCTCTGTCGGCTTACACAAGGGATCGGCTCTAAGCCCATACCTCTTCCTGTTGATAACGGATGCTCTGACGTTGGACATACATGAGGCTCCTTGGTGCATGTTTTTTGCAGATGACATTGTGTTAATCGTGAAGGAGGGGAGTGAGGTCCAGAGCAGACTGGAACATTTTTCAAACAAACAACAAAGGCTCGAGAAAGTTGACTTGAAAATCAACGAAACTAAAACTGAGTACATGTTCTGCATTTCAGCGGTCTCTCCAACCCCGAAACCATTTCGCTAGATGGGATAGCGATAACAGTCTGCTCTTATTTTAAGTACCTCGGCTTGCTCTTACGAAATGATGGCGAAATGGATAGGTCTGTACAGCACCGAATCAATCCAGGGTGGATGAAGTGGCGGCAGGTTACAGGAACTATTTGCGATCACAAGTCCCCTTTTACAATTAAACGGACAAATATACAGAATGATTATTATCAGACCAGCCGTCCTGTATGGTATTGAAAGTTGGCCCATAAAGAGAACGGATGATAGACGCCTGAATGTCGCCTAAATGCGAATGCTGAGATGGATGTGTGGTTTGACTCGGATGGACAAGTTCAGGAATGAGTATATACGAGGGAGTCTGAAAGTAGCGCCACTGGATGAAAAGATAAGATGTCATGCAGAGGGATGAGGAAAGTGTGGCGAGGACAGTGTTAGGTATGGGAGTTGAAGGGTACAAGAGAAAAGGAAGCCCATAGAAAAGGTGGATGGAATGTGTTTGAGAGGATATGGTTAGGAAGGCAGTGAACAGTGAAATGACGAATAATAGTGTAGAATCATACTGCGCCGACTCCAAATAGAATTTGAATAAGGGTATGCAGATGATGATACGTCCAATAAAAGCCCAGCATCAATGAATTCTTTCACAAAAAGCGGTAAACTTATATAAACCTTCCTCTTGTACACCTAAACCCTCCGCCTAATTCGCTCCATTTGTGAAAACTACATTAAAATCCGTAGTAGTTTTTAAGTAGCAAAGAGACATACCGACGCGGTGGGGGACTTTGCTTTATAATATTCAGTGATTCTTCATACTAGTAAAACAAAAAAGAATGACTAGTCTGCACGCAATAAGAATTTTCTTCGCGTGAAAGCGACAGTCACATACAGACGTGATATCATCAGTATTGAGAGAGAGTTTTACTGTGAATTGTTAGGTTACCTTAAATTATGATTGGTGAATTATCGCCGCAAACAACAAATAAATAGAAAAAATTGGAAATGACGAATCTTCTTTGTAACCGTAACCATTGTTCATTATCACTTGCAATTTACGAGGTGTCATTATCACATTGCCGAGTCTCTCGAGCAGGTTGTTTTTAGTAGTGAAAATTATTCGTGAGCAAAGTAGAAACATTGATGGTTTCCTCTTATCGTAAATTACAAAAAGATAAGCTACATTAATGTATAAACTCCGACACTGCAGGGCGATATTTCAAAACTGAGCAGAAGGCCAATTCTCGCAGTAAAAGTTCGGTTCCGATCAACTTTCAATCTCACAATTGTCATAAAAGGTATTTTCGTAGTAAAGTATTAAACATCCAACGTTGACTCCAATGTGATTATATCGTATTGTAACCCAAAATTTAATCGGTAATCTGCTAGTCTTAGTAATACTTTACTATTTTACTACGAAAATACCTTTTATGACAGTTGTGAGAAAGTCGAAAGTTGAAACTGAATTGTGACCGAACATTTATTACGAGAATTGGCCCTCAGGTAATTACCGTATTAATATTTTTCTACAATTTTATAGCTTACGTGGTCGGCCCCAAACGTTAGTGGACAACCTTCAAACGTTTACGTTAAGCATCACGTTTTTAAACGAATTCAAATAAGCTACTGTTCTACCGTATATATTTATTTCGTGTAGGTTGTTTCAATAAGCTGCAGATGTTAGTGATTTGACAAAAAGTATATGTAACAATTGATTTTTATATAATACGATTAAAATATTAACATAAAAGCATAAAAATTCTTCCGCATCATCGCCTATTGGTAGCGTTCTCAGAAGACGTGAGATAAAGAATTAGCATTGCCACGTAGAATGGCAGTTGCTTAACTAGTTGTTTATACATGGTACAAGCAGCCGGACCCCATGACTCTATCGTCTCAACCCCTAACGCTTTAAAAATTAATTGTTTTCTGTGCAACCAGCTGTGCTTTGAAGATGTAACGGCGCAATTGATTGTGTTGAACTACAATAAAACTAGTAGTCTGGGGAAAGAAAGTTATTTTGATAGTTTTACGAAAATGGCAACAAAAATACTGAGCAGAAACGAAAAACTGCACGGCGTAGTGGTTTAAGCGGTCACCATTTTTTGCATTTTTTCGTAATAATTAGTACGTGCGCGCGCTTTTTGTGGTCCTAATTAGGACCCTCACGTTTTGTGCGTTGGTGGCGTATTTACCTCTTGTATGTTTATAATATCATTGTAATTATTTCGTTGCATTTTACTCAGCGAATGAGATTACTACAAGGATCAACCCCCCCCCCCCCCCCCCCCCCATTTGTTTGTAACGCTTTCACGCCTAAACCACTAAACCTATTTTAAAAATGCTTTCACCAATGGAAAGCTACGTTATCAGCTAGTAACATAGGCTATTTTTAACGCGATAACCGACTTACACACCGGCGGAGCTGCGGGGTTATTCATGAGTACAAACAAGTATTATTCATGACGTAAATACTATAATACAATGGGAGAGGCCTATGTCCAGTACATGGTAATGATTTCAACCATTAAGGGTTTATGTATTTTAAATAGCTAAATCACTTTTAAAAATGATAAACAAGACTAGAATGAGTCACGTACATAACGTGGCAATGACAAAGGTCAAACCACTTGACCTCATTCCGATAGACATACGGACTTGCTAAGCACTATCTCACTTTGTAAAGAATTTTCTATATTGATAGCAATGCTCTTTCTTCGCTCCAATATTTTAATATTATTGGAGTTGACAATTTTCAGAATTGATTTTATTTTATATCATCGTCAACAGCCTTTACTAGTCTACTGCTGGACATAGGCCTCTCCTTAGAAAGGAGGATTTGGATTTGGCGTAGCAGACCACGCTGGCCAGACTAGTTGGTGTAAGATTTGTTTCAAGTTTTTCTTCTCTTTGCAGTGCTATTGTCTTGTTGAATTTGCTGCCGTTAGTCGGCTCCTATGACGCCCACGGCATGGATAGAGGTGGTGACACTCTGTATTCTTAGTCCGTCACCACACGGACAATTCTTTCATCAGACAATTATTTGTTATCTATGTCCTTATTTATTACTAGCTGACCCGCGCAACTTCGTCTGCGTCTCTCAATAGTAATAAATTTTCTCCGTTTTTGAAACATTCTTCATTGGTGCTCCGCTCCTTTTGGTCTTAGCGTGATGATATATAGCCTATAGCCTTCCTCGATAAATGGGCTATCTAACACTGAAATAATTTTTCAAATCGGACCAGTTGTTTCTAAGATTCGCCTTCAAACAAACAAACAAACTCTTCAGCTTTATAATATTAGTATAGATGATGACTAAAGATTATTTTTATTATACTTTTATTAAAGTATTACCGATTTCAATGACTTCCATCAAAACGAATTGTAATAAACTGTATTCTTCATTCCTTAATTTTTTACTCTTTTGGATAAGTACGTTCAAATATTAAAAAAACATAGGTAGAACATAGTTCTTTACACTTTTACGATAAACCAGACCTCATATCGAAAAAAGTTAAATACTAATAAAAACATAAAATTTGTATAAGAATTCACAATATTCTAAATATTATTATAGTTTCAGCTTTAAAAACTCTTGTAAAAAAACCGCCATCATTCTGATCAACGAAGACAAATGTTTGTTTGAAAATATGTCTTAAAAAGTTTGTTCATAATTATACCTTTTAAACGAAAAAAAATGTTTTTTTTTTAAATTTATTGTGTATTTTTCAGGGATGGCGCAAACCGAAATCACGTACAGTGATGCCGGGTGGTGGCGCCGTTGCCGCCAGGTCGCCTCACTCTCACGATGCTGGAGACAGTCGAGACGAAGACGGGATGCACAATGGGAAGGTATGTACATTTACATTTACTTCGGTTAAAAACTAGAAACTAAATCAACTATTCAAATTTTTTTTCATATGAAGGACGTAGGTCGTTGAGTGACCTCTGGCGCGTGAGTCGTCTGCAGTACCTGGCCCGTTCGCGTGCCTTGTGGACCAGGAGAGTTCTAAACCTCTCCCGCTCCGCCTTCTCCACGAGCATAACTTTTATATATATATACCATGGCTGTAATCATGGTACCGAGCGAGATAATTTTTCATAACATAAAAACTATAAAGAATACTGTAAACTTGTATTTAATTAAGTTTTCGAATTCCAGGACAAAGATGCAAAGAAAAAGAGCAAAAATAAGGAAGGTAAGTGTTTTGTTTTATTCATATTGCTTTTCCATTATTTTCAAATTAGTAACCTTTATATAAAATCGACTAAAACTGACTAATTTTTCTGCTGCATTTGGACTTATAACAATACATGGTAAGTATATTTTATACTAAAAATGTATATTGAGTATACTTTTAATTTCGTGCAATTGTTACAATGCAATAGTGAAATTGACGGTTGTCAAATTTGTCATACCTGTTAAATCTTTGATGTTTTAACAACAAATAAAACTGTTTTTTTTATAAACAAACAAAATTTTTCATAACGAGTTACGTTGTTACGATATTTGACATATTTTACAAAAAATACAATGTAATAATTTGAGTTTCTTTTGCATATTCTAGACGTAAACCGTTCAGTACTCATAGAAGGCGTATTATTCCGGGCGCGGTATCTCGGGTCCACGCAACTGGCGTGCGAGGGTCAGCCTACAAAGGCAACAAGGATGCTACAGGCTGAGGAGGCTGTCTCCAGGATTAAGGTATCATTACGTAATATGCACCCATTGTAACAAAATTATTCATTATTTTATAATGATTAAAAGTAATCAAATTGTCAGTTAGTCGCACCGACTAATTATTTGGTATTACATAAGCGCCTAAATCATGTAAGTTTAAATCTTGCTTATGATAATTAGAGACTGATCAAGTTGAACTAGAAATATTGTTATAGGTTTTAAAATTACGCAAATATTTATCATAATAAAAAAATTCCCGAGTGGTATTTATATTTATTAAAGATTTGGAAAGACTTTTGAAGGAGGAAGCGTCCTGCCGCTCCGGTGTCGCGCCTCAAACTCACGAACAGGGTCGAAACTAGTCAGGCATTGCCGAAATACACAATTTCGGAGAGCCCGGCTAGTTTTAGTAAGTAAAACCGCATATCTTTAATAAATCGATGAAGTTAAAATATTAGGCAATGTTCTTTTATAATTTTTATGCCATTGTAAACTAAAACTTAATGTTATTGTTTTTCAGTAAAGTTCAGACAGCTACAAACTCCCTGCCCTACCCTACTTTATACTCAAGTTTGCTTGTATTAACCCAAATTCACGAACATTGAACATGTTTTTACGACTTAAAGTTACATGATTTAGCTGCTTGATACTCATTAAATTCAATGAAATACCTTTTTGCTAACAATATATATACACTATAAATAATCTTACTATCAAATAACATACTTCTAATACATGCATTCTCATAAAGACACAATTCGGCAATTTACCGTTTGCCCGTGTGAATCGGTATCAATGTAAAATGTTTGTATCTTATGTAGATGTTTATTAAAAGTCAGAGCATGAAATTACTTGTCTCTATCTCTCCCCCACACAATTCCGCCTATGGCACGTTCTTGTGATCAGTATTTTAATAATGCTAAAGTTATACCACTCAAGGGCGACCATTAATCCCAACCCTAAATTTAAAAACGAAACATGTTCCTTTTAAAAATATATTGTGAAAATTGTTGCTATTTCCTAATGGTTCGGTTGTTAGATAAAAATTCAGTCACTTATTATTTAAAACATTTTTATTTTTATTTATCATCATATGAGGTCGCTTTGTGTTGTATAAATTATGCTTAACATGATCACAATGTACTAAGAAGCACCGTGTATAAATTTATTACACCATTTTGTCAATCGATACATCTATAATCGACTAACCCCACTTTTGCCAGTCGATTTATAGTTAAAACAAACACCTCTCTATTTCAAAATGTATGAAGCTATTCGCACCGCGTTTAAACTAAATATCTAATTATTTTGCACGCATCATCTTCAAGTTAATTATAATTATTTCATAGCCATCTTGTAAATATGTAATTTCATGCTCATTAGGATTAGCGTATTGAGAATGCTAGTGGGATATCCTTTATAACCCTTAATAAACCAAATATAACAATATTTAGTGTAGTCATAATAAAAATGGGACTAAACTAGTCCTGTGTATTTTTAAATTTTCAAATGTGTTGAGTCATCCACGAACCTGTCCGCCAAACCATTTGAGCTCTTATTGACTTGGCACTAGAGTATTTTTTTCAGTGTGCTCCTCACCCCTCGACCCGACCCAAGAAGATTGTCGGATCCCGTATTGGCCGGCTAGCCTCCTCTGAAAATGTTTGTTTGTCGCTTACTATTCCGCTTGACGCTATGCTTTGTATCATGTGTGCCCTCTTAGGTTTGCTGCAAGGTAAGGGAGTATGCGATCATATTGTGCTGTGCTAGAATTAACCTTAGCATGTTCTAATATCGAATTATACCAACTACGATCGTACTGACGCTCCCTACAGTAATAGGTATTAGTCTGCATCGAATTCGAACAATAACCAATAATTGGTTTTTACATTTAAGTCATTTTATTGAAGCAAGATTTATAAAATTCGAAATCGATGTAAACGCAAATCGATGTACACAAAATCGACTAAATAAACTACAAGTTTACTGCATCACCGGTACAAGTACGCTTTTTAATCAACGCACTATTTCATTATATGCACAAAATAGCATGTACTACCCGATTCACACCGGCTGAGGTGGCCTGCCCAACTCGAGGCACTACATCGCGGAAGGCTTAGCTTAGCACAAGAGTATCCCTATTAATGTAAAATGTATAAAGTTTCAAAATTCAGTTAGGTCTGCTTCCATACTAACCACGGTGGATATCGCTCGCTTCTCACATGACTGTTGTATTCGAATTGTTTTGCCTGCTTTCGTGCCAAATTTTTACATTTCGCTCACGGGCTTTAGTATTTAAAGCAAACCAGAGAAATGGAAAGGATTGAAACGGTAGAAATTTAAATTTAGAAGACATTATTTCAACTGTCACGCCTTACATACCTATTTGTTCATTTGAGTATATCGAATATGCTTATTTTTCATGTTAACTATAATTTGCCTGAAAATTTTGGAATTAAGTTCTCAAATTTAAACTTTTGATTGAAATTTAAAAAAAAACCTTTGAAATAAAATATGATACGATATCAAAAATATGTCATCGTAGACTTTGCAATGAATACAAAAATAGCTAAGAACTAAATAACATGACAATTTATGTATTATACTTTAATAGTAATGAATTATATGCTTGTGCAGCAATGTAAAAACTGGTATACAAGCAGTCAAACTTAAAAATATATATATTCCTATAAAATTCTTTTACTGGGGGATAAAAAATTCAAACTTCATGTAAAAATAACCTTTAAATACTACAAGAGAGTTAAGTCGAAAATCCAAAAACGTGACAAAACAAATCGAATGCCACTAAACATGTGAGAGCGTGAGGAGGTTAGCCGGTATTTCTGGCAGTGGGGCTGCGACGGGCCGTACTCTGGAGTGTACGCGGCCCCGGCAGCCGTGTTCCGACTCGCCTTCCTTGGATCGGTCGAGGTGGATGAGGACTCCAGGAGAAGGAAGAGGCGACCCAAAAAGAACATGGTAGAAGAAGCCGTGACTAAGATCAAGGTGGTTTGGCAGACTATTGAATTATATGAATAGGTCTTTGTTAGGATAAATCTAGATATAATGTCTATCCATGGTAGTTTTATTTTGAAATAAGTTCATTGGTATTTTAAAATGATGAACTTCATAATTATAAAAAAAAAAAAAATTAGTTGTATTTAAAATATATATACATATTTGAAATGTCGCGTTCTTCGCGCGAGGGTTAAAATCAAATAATTACTATCACAAAATGGTAATGTCATTAATCTTTGTTTTGTGGTCATATTATTTTTTTATTTTAAATTTGCCAATCATAAATATTTGACAAAGAGAGTAGTCATGACTGATCATATTCTTGTAAAACTACCATCTGGGTCCTACAACTAGAACATCTGCGTACCAAGGTATCTTCTAAGGAGTTCATAGATCTTTTTTTTTTTAAACTTGAAATTAACGAAGTTTGGGTCAAAATGTATCTGAGACTTGTTAGTTTTTTGCTCATTGCAATAAAATATAGCTTGCTGTCATTTTTACCACATATATTTGATCTAGAATGGATTGGCCATGGATAGATCCTACCTTTTTTAATGTGTTAAGATGTTTTAAGAATATCACTTTCGAAATTTAAACATTATCATCAATGTTGCCAGTGTTAAAGATTACTTATTTTATTGTGGCAAATTGTCAATTTTTAAATTTCGATAGATCATTGGTATTATACACTTTTTCATTGTACTAATTGTAAACGGTATTTCCCTTATCGCTGTCTCGGGTAATCACCAATCAGGCCTTGGTAAGTATCTAAATTCTAAATTAGTGGCTTTCATTAAAAAAACGTAGTATTAATATAACATTAAAATATAGTAGATTTTCTACACACTGCTGTCACTATCAAATTAAACCCACTCTTATTTGAACCTGACACTTGCAGATATTATAGAGTCCAACAACACTTGCCAACATTATACAACTTTAAATCACATCATATCACATCAACAGCCTTTAAAAGTCCACTGTTGGACATAGGCCTCTCCTTAGTAACAAGGGTTTGGCCTACTGTACCACGCTGGCCAGACGGGTTGGTATAGAGTTTGTTTCAAGTCTTCCTTCTCCTTGCAGTGATGTTGTCCTGCGTAGTTTGTTCCCTTAGTAGGCACTTACGACACCCACGGGATGAATAGAGATATGAACATTGAGTATTCTTAATCCGCCCCCACACGGACAATGTATTAGTTCTGCAATACGTGATAAAACTCGTCTTAAAATTGTTAATTTAATATTTTGAGCGTATGCGTAGTTTATCAAATACATTGACATACATACATATTTGATTTTTAGACCATACTTGACACAAGTAATGTCGACAAGTGTAACCGGACCCTTAAACTGTCTTAACCTTTCATTGACCGACCTGAATCTTGATAATGTCATGGAACTTCTTGTGTCTAAAAAGCAAAAAGCACTACAATGTTTACATTATAATGCTTGTAAACTTTCCAAGCAGCTCAAAACCAGCATGCGATAAGCAATGTGCCATATTCCGCGCAAATATATTTTATACAACAATATTGGGCCTGTTCTGTGCTAATGTAAATGTCCTCTATGTGCTCGAGTATTATCTGAAAGCCTTCGAATTTGTGGATTGTGTCCAACCGCGTCTAAATCACTAAATCACTCTCATCTATTCATCTACGCAAAGTTGTACACTACCACTTTTCTAAGAGCTGACAACTCAGTTAGTTGCGAGCTCTACGAAAATGATTCTAAGGTGAGGTATTGAAAGTTCATTTTCGGTAACTCATCTTTTGTTTTGTTGCTAGTCATAAATAATCACAATATTAGTCAGACGTGCTGTATGTCTCTGTGTTAAATGTGAACGTTTACCGCAAACCAAAAGTCTTTGCATCCAGAATCTTGAGATGGCAACTGTCTGTAACACGAAGGCAACCTAATAATCTAAGTAGTTCTGCATTTGGATGTCTTATATACATTTCTGTGTTGTTTTGCCACATTCATTAACGTGTGCTAGGTAAATTTCAACCGGTCTGTTCAGTTAAATTATTTATTGCAATAAAAAATAAACGTAGATGATAAATTTAACGTTTAAGAAACTCAGACGAATTTGGACCTCGCGAGACACAGTACAAATACATCAACCTAGTATTATTCGCTATCACGCTTCAAGATATAAAATTTCTTGTTTGTAAGATTTGGATGCAAAATCTTTTGGCGGGGGGGAGGGGGGGGCGAGGTTTACACATGATATTATTTCAAATTATACACAGTTCATTGAATCACGAAAGGAAAACAAAACACTCACTGAATATTTAAGATTTACTTCAAGTATCAATAATATCCTGTCCGAGGGAAATATTCCACCTACCTGAGGGAGTACCATACTTTTGAACCAAAAGGAGTCTTCTTTTAGTCGTATACTTTGCCCTTATTTTGCTCTCCTTCATGCACGCACACAAAATCATTCGATTTTCTCAGTGTATTGTGAAGTAAGTCAAAATTTGACTAACTAAAATTATCGAAAATGGTGCTTTTTAGATTAGTTTAGAGCCTAAAGCCTTAAAACCTTTCCTAGATAAAAGGGTTATAACATACGTAATTGAGTTTTCATAGAACCATCTTAATTCCAGGCTCCTGAAGGTGAAAACCAGCCAAGCACGGAGGTGGATCTATTCATTTCAACGGAAAAAATAATGGTTTTGAACACGGAATTGAAGGAGATCATGATGGATCACGCGTTAAGAACCATTTCATATATCGCTGATATAGGAGATCTTGTTGTGCTCATGGCGAGAAGACGGTTTGTGCCTCACGAGAATGACTCAGATCAACCGAAATTGAACAGGACACCGAAAATGATTTGTCACGTCTTTGAAAGTGAAGAGGTGAGTCCTACTTAAGACATTTATTTTTCCTATTAATTTTAATGATATGTAATTTTAGATGATAATCGGAACTGATTTAAAAAAAAAACTGTGGGTCCAATGTTTGGGCCATTACTCTACAGAAAACGTTTAGAATTTCTTGGAAGGTACTTTTGGTGTTTATTGATTTTAATATAGTTTTATTCTTATTAATTATAATTTGGTATGCAAATTTTTTACGTAAGACCATTATCAATTAATTTACTAATGCTCAGATAAGTAAACGTAAGTCCTTAAAAATACATTCGCACAAGTTGGTAATTTGTCTTTAAATACGTTATTTTTCTTTTATTGATGGTTTCTGTTTCTGTTTCTGTTTCTGATGGTTTATTTCAATCTATAATTTTACGATATACTTAACATTCCGTACAAATATACGATACAATATATAGTATATGTAGGCCAAAACCTCCTTTACAAGGAGAGGCCTATGTTCAGCAGTGAACTATTAAAGGCTGTCGATTTGATAGTATATTTATAAACGGGAATACAACCCCAATTGGCCATTATGACATATTTTTAATGATATCAGCTGAAGTTTAGAAAAAATCCTTAACTTATTGCAAATAATATTGTATTTACACTTTGTGTATAGACATAAAATACTTATAACTAGCATTATTGACAGAAATATACACTCAAAAACATATTATTATAAAAAGCTTAAACGATTAGGGTTACAACCACTTTAAAGAAATGATTTGATGGTTAGTTTATCTCGTGTAAATAAAAAAAATACTTGGAGATCTTAGTCTATTAGATAACACATGAAATAGGGATATACATTTTATCTATTACATCAAAAGATAACTGCTTTGCATTATCATCTGTATTGTCTTACATTGCGTATAGTTTTGTTCGCTCCGTTGTATCTATGAGCATATGAATAAAATGCCGTGATAATTAAAAAAACCATGTTAGCTGACCTCTAAAGCATTTCATTTATGACGGTTAAAATGTGGGAGTAAGTGTAGAGACAAATATATGCTTGACAAACGTTCCGGTTTTTGTGCAAATGTGTCTTCTATTATTTATGAGATACTGTTAGGTATTAGTGCGTGTAAATATTAAAAAGGTCAAGTAAAAATTTTACGGTAAGTTGAAAAGGTATAAAACTTTTTAGGGCGATTTAAAACATTCAAATGATTTATTTTTATACAAAGTAATGGCAACAATCAAGTCACGTCATTAAGATTTTTTATTTTGTTGCATAAATAAAACAAACTTTAAAAAGCTAATTAATACTTTTGTTATTACCGCGGTGAAAGATTCACACCGCTTGACTCCGACTGCGCACGAGTCGAACAATTAATTTCACAACTATGTTGCTTATAATATTTTATATTCTGACGAATAAAAATAAATTTTGCAGAATTTTAGAAAGCTCGTTTTTTATTAAAGAAATTCTTCGTGTTAAAGATATTTTCTTAAATTTGTTGGTTAATAGAAATATTTCCCATTTCGTCCACTATAATAACTGCACAAAATAAATCGAGATTTAATGTGAAAATGGTGTGTGTGACCATGTTTGTATGTATGTATGTATGTATGAAAGCGTGAATGTATGTGTAACTGAAATATAAAGTATTTTAGTAGTCTACTGCTGGACATAGGCCTCTGAGTATTATTGTCGCGTGATAATAATAATACCTACATTTAATGCTTAAATTATATTAACAAATATGCATTTTTACTTTCTAGGCACAATTCATAGCACAGTCTATAGGTCAAGCATTCCAAGTAGCCTACATGGAGTTTTTGAAGGCAAACGGCATCGAAGACCATAGCTTCGTCAAAGAGATGGACTATCAAGAAGTGCTGAACAGTCAGGAGATCTTTGGAGATGAACTGCAGATGTTTGCTAAGAAAGAGTTGCAGAAAGAGGTGAGGTTTAGTAACAATTTAAGGTTTAAAAGTTGTACTTTATAGTAATATACTCGTTATTGTAGTAGTTCACTTTACATTCCTATTAAATAGGGTATTTGAAAAAAATTAAAACATGTAATTTTAGTTTTAATTAGCTTTTTAGTAAAAGTATGCTTACATTTTTCTTGTCTCAATTTTTTTTTGGAATATATGGGCATGTTTATGGAATAAATAATGGTCCTTTAGGAATAGTTTGCCTAGAATTCAAACTTGTAGTTAGAACGCCTGCTAAAATGTATTTCGAAGGTATGTTCCGGCGGAATAGAAATCCTCCGAATAAGTGCCTTTTCGAAGTATGTTCGGTCAGACTGATGCTATTCGAATATAATCTGTTAAAACCATGAGAATTCGAACTTTCTTTTTCGAAATTGGGAACTTTAAAAAAAAATTAACTATCGATATTTAGTATGACACTCAAAATGAACACGTAATGCGTTTGTTAATTACTAAACTATTTTTTTTATTCTTGACCATTTAAAAATAACTGATGTTCCTGTTTGCAGGTGGTGGTACCGAAGACAAAGGGTGAAATATTGGGTGTGGTTGTGGTGGAATCGGGCTGGGGATCAATGTTACCCACTGTTGTTATCGCCAACCTGGCACCAGCAGGAGCAGCTGCGAGATGTGGACAGTTAAATATAGGTCAGCAAAAAAATTACAGCTTGTTTCTTCTATTATTTCTGTAAGGATCTTGTAGGTATATAAGTTCTAATTTGAGTTAAAATAGTACGTTTACTCGTCATTATTGTTTTATCAACCTTAACCCTAAAATCGTGATAAAGTTTTATCGTCGACGACTCTTTGTTTAAAGTAAAGTGGTCCTATTTGCAAAAGAATAAAAAATCGCGATATGCTATACATGAAACTTCTTTCAGCTATTTGTAATGAAATTATGAAAACAGACAACGTTATACAGACTATTAATGTATGTCTATAAATTAATAGTCGTGTGATTAATGCCTTGAGCATTTCACAGAATGACTTGTACTAATTCCTATCCTACCTATCTCTTTCAGGCGATCAAATAATTGCCATAAACGGCGTATCCCTAGTAGGGTTGCCACTCTCCACTTGTCAAACATACATAAAGAACTCTAAGCAACAGACCGTGGTAAAGTTAACCGTGGTCCCCTGCGCACCCGTCGTCGAGGTCAAGATCAAAAGACCTGATACCAAGTACCAACTCGGCTTTAGTGTCCAAAATGGAGTGGTGAGGAACATTTATCTTCAGCAAATATTATTTATTTGTTCAGAAACGTTTATGCAATGGATTTCTATTTTTTTTTTTTACTTTAATATGTGACTGTTTATTCCAGATCTGCAGCCTTTTGCGTGGTGGGATCGCCGAACGCGGCGGGGTACGCGTGGGGCACCGCATCATAGAGATCAACTCGCAGAGCGTCGTGGCCGTACCGCACGAGCGGATCGTCAACCTGCTCGCCACCTCTGTCGGGGAGGTAACACAACTCTCTTAGCTAGCCTAGGTTATAACAGGGCAATCCATCACAGGGATCAACTCGCAGCGTGTCATACCTACGTACGTACGTACCTACTCGCGACCTATGTGAGAGAGGTAACCCCCCACTCTCCTCACTATCTTAAGATCATTTAGGGCACCGAATCACAGAGATATCCTTAATAATTGATAACTCATCCCTTATTGTTTTCGTTACAGATCCTAATGAAAACGATGCCGACGTCGATGTTCAGGTTGCTGACGGGCCAAGAGAACCCCGTATTCATCTAAACGCGCGCGCACACGCGCTACAAGTGCCTGCTTACGAGATATGTACCACTCACCGCCACCGACACACTCCGCCAGCGCTCACGCCCTTTCCGAGCTTCGACTGTCGTACCCGTGATATGTACAAAGAGGGGTTAGTGCGGTTAAGCAACACTTTAACCCGTTCAAAGCACGCAATGGTGCTTTAATTTGACGAAGCGTTCCAATATCATTCGTAACTTGTGAAAGTCAGAGCACGACATTACTTGCATTGATTTAAATAAAAGTTAACTTTAGTTTTCCGCAGTTTTAACATTAATGAAGAAAAGAAAATAATTCAAATCACAAAGCGTGTTTAAGTAAATAATTACAAAGAAGAATATACAACTACAAATAAAAATATTTATTTAAGATATCTGTATTTTCTACTACTCAAACTTTGTGGAATTCAGGGTTACAATATACAACTAACTCAAAATGAACACATTATCTCCTCTTTGTACATTTCCGGTATTAAATTTACAGTACCTTAAATTATTTATAACTTTCATAAATCGGCTAAAAATATTTTTTACTTCTGGCTCATTGAAGCTGAAAAAGTCGTAACTTATGTATAGTGGAATGCGAACTTTGATGAATCCACAGCGAGTCAAAAAGGGGTTTTGTTCCGAATGTGGTTCTTCACACGGTAGTGAGTGAACATATGAAATTATTAAAATCGTTTCTGAGATACCATTTCAAAGTTTGGCATTAATACTCCTAAGATGGGCTTCAAATCTCAATTTATTTAAAAGGATATGAAAAGAAAACTTAACAGGTACTGGTTAGCAAATAAAATTATTCGATTTACCCTGAAAATATTCTAAGAATTACATAATTCCCAACTCAACCTCCCCCCACCTCCAAGTTAAAAATTTAACCACGCTACAGTCCTAGGAGATCCTCGTTATAAAATATACATCTCGAATAATAACCCCTGGTATCACTTGTTTCTCCCAATTTGGTAGAAACTCTTAAATTGGCAGCATTGGTCTTGTTGGGTTGAGCAACTCTGTTTACGAATAATTTATTAATAACTAAATATAAGCGTAAAAAAGCGAGGAAAGGGCCAATCTCATGCTTAGATGATAGGAAAATACTCAAAATTTTATATGTGATGAGTTTGAATGCTTATAAATGCTTACGTGGCTAATAACATAGAATATAAGTTGTATTCTCTCTATAATTGTAACACTTCGTAATTCTTATTGTGAAAATAACGCAATATTAATTCACGACGTGAAATTCTTTCTCATGACAATGTGTATGATACATACTCCATAAATTAATATCATATTTATAAACTTAAATATCAAGCCCACTCATATCTGGTAAGATATTTATTAAATAAAACAGTTATAACGCATGTTCCATTTTTGATTAATTAAAATTTAACATATATTTTTTTATTTTTAGGTGCTTAATTTTGTCTTTTTTTGTGAGTACTTTATGAACATCTTGATGAAAATTTATTGAGGTTTTTATTTATTAATTACATGCGTAGGTCTTAAAAAAAGATGATCATAAAGCCAGTAAGATCATACTGGCCTATTTTTTTTTATAATTTAATTGTTCCATCTGATATCTCGTTTGTGCGCCTCTCATTTTTTATACATTTTTTATGTATGTATATAAACTTGATGAATTTATTTTTATAATGTTTTTTTTATATTTTTATCACCGTTCATGCCTGTTAGTAACCTAGCCATTCCATTATCATGTGTTTAAGATTTTGTATGTTGAAAAAATCTCTTAAGTTCATTTTTTTCATTATATAAAGTGCACCGTAGTTCAAATCATATTATTCAGTTCAGAAATATGTATAGCTTAGATAAAATTGGGTCGCAGGCAACCAAAATGTGTTGTGGTTTGATCTGAAATGTATTTATCAGAGTAGTGAACGCATGAAGTTCAAACTACTAACGCATACTGACCTGCAGTGATCAAAATAATAAAAAAATGAATTGATTAGTCGATATAGTAATAACAAATTGCATTATTTCGTGTAGCATTTCAAAAGATATATCATATTTTGTAAATTTTATAGTGTCGCTATAGCATAACTATATAATCTACATATATATACATATGTATATGTCCTGTGTTCTTAAGCTTAGCGCTCTGAGGACGAGTAACTATATTTACGACATCAGAACCAAAAGGTGAGATATCCACCAGATATATGACCAGCCAGAGTATTTTTCTTTGTCTTAATAGTCGATTGTCTAGTCGAATAGTTGAACTCTTAGTTGATTAATCTGACAGTTAGTCGACTATTTCGTTGACTTGTTGAGTATTGTAATTGAGTTAGATAAACAAGTTTAGTTAACTTGTGAGCAAAAACACATTTTAAAGATAAATTTAAAGTGAATATTTAACTAATTGGTTCTGATGTCGATTATTTATTTATGTATAAAAATAAATATAATTTGTCAGCTCTATTTGTAAACACTAGATATGACACTCGAACAAACTGCTTCTGATGATGTACCTTTAAAACCTCCCATCACTCCTATAATCCGCTCGAAATAACTCATTTCACTGTTTCGTTTAATTTGCTCCTTGGCCAGTGTGACGGACGCCAGCGATACGGGTAATGTTAATATTGCCCGGTCAATCTCTAAATTGACTTGAACGCTGTTCGAAATACTATATTTTATCCTTTCGCTCATAAATCCATAAAATTATAATCATTTAATACCTGAAATCTAATCCACACTGGCCACGCCCTCATGAACTAAACTTAAAGTATAATAAATATACAGTCTGATGTAATTTTGTATTGCTAGCTGTTGTGAATAAGATTTATTTACATTGAGATACAGATAATAAATAGCCTTTTATTGTGAAGCTGATATATTGTAGGTACACTGTAATATGTGAAATAACTATTGTTGTTCTCATTTCTAAGAGTATTATTCTAGTCTGCATTAAAGTTAAGAATAAACTGAACAAACTGACCTTTATTATTTTATTGTACCCTTCTGCCAGTATTAAAGGCTAGATCAGACAGCGGACGAGGCGAGGCGGTAACGTGACGGTTGTAATATAATGATTACGATAGAAGAAATAAAATGGAAGTTATCTACGATCTTCGGTATACTTTTTTTTATTATAAAGACAACTCCTGCACTAGGAATATATCCTGTGTTTACCAGTTTTGTGTGAACAAAACTGACTTGCTTCACTTCACTTCACTCACAAAACATCCTTTCTACCGTTAACATGAATCGGATACTAAACTGCTTCTGGAGAAGTGAAGGACTTGGATAACTTGTGTTAGGAACCCTAAAAATTAATACCAATATCCAAAAAATGTGTTCTGGACTGGATTTCATATGATAATTAAGTTTATACCTAACACATAGTTTTCTAGGAAATAACTTTCTTTGCACCACCTTTCTTTTACACGTTCAAAAATGCTGCTAGAAGATTTCTTTTTTAAATGATGGTGAGTCAATATTATGTGATCCTTATCTGTAAATCGTCATCTGAGTCACAAAGGCAGTCATCCAATACTTGGTGCATTTGACTGATAAAAAAGTCACAACCTTATTTACCTACACATAACCTTACTTTTTGTCTAATTGATAAGCTATCACAATTATTTGTGACGTGTCGATATACTTACTTTGATACCAGTTCCTTAGCTACTGAATCGGTATCACTTTATTTTCCTGTTCCTGTTTTATTTATCACAATTGTGATACACACACGGTTCCCGCGCTCACTCGGTAATAAGCAACTAAAAAACAACCTAACACCGGTTTTATGTGAGGCCGTGGTATAACTCCCGTCGAGCAGGGCCCATTTATGTAGTAGCATAACTCTCCCACGGCAACACAAATAAAACGCAACACGACACTAAAACAAATGTTTTACATTTTTCTTTAATTATTAGTTTTCAAAAAGCTTGTTTTTGCTTTAGAAAGAAAGAGATCTAGTTTAGAAAGTTTTCATTTGCATTATATTAGACACACATATTTAATGTCTACAATTAGGTACATCACAGCCCATTTGTTTGGTAGCATAACTCTACCACGGCAACACAAATAAAACAACACGACACTAAAACAAATCTCTTAATTTTTTCTTCAATTCACATCATCACATCAACAGCCTTGAATAGTCCACTGCTGGACTGAGGCCTCTTCTTAGAAAGGAGGTTTTGGCCTACTATACCACGCTGGCCAGACGGGTTGGTATAGGGTTTGTGTCAAGTTTTCCTTCTCTTTGCAGTGCTGTTGTCCTGCGTAGTTTGCAGTAGTTTGCAGTCGTAAGAGGCGACTAAGGAGTCGCCTCTTACGACACCCACGGGATGATTAGGGGTGGTGACACTCTGTATTCTTAATCCGTCACCACACGGATAATTATTCGGATAAAGCAAAAACAAGCTTTTTAAAAATAAATAATTCTGCAATTATTTATTTTTAAAAAGCTTGTTTTTGCTTTAGAAAGAAAGATATCTAATTAAGATAGTTTTCATTTGCATGATACACACATATTTAATGTCTACAATTACATCACAGCCCATTTGTGTGCTAAATTCTGTCAAATTAATATCCTTAAATCATGGCAAATTAGAAGAAGCAAGAGTTGCAATTTAATTCATGTTGTCATTAGAGCATGAATTGCGTATAAGAGAATGACAACTATACAAAACAATTTCGTATCTGTAGCCGCATCTGAAACTGGTAAGTAGGTATGATATGTATGAAACATAATTATTCATACATATTAAATCGGAAGAAATGTATTTATACTTTCAAACAAGTAATATGGCAGGTTTTGCTTTAGAATGTTTACTCTTTTTTATAGGCATCTTAGCCTAAAGTTACGATAAAATTCGTGTCAGGATGTCAAATCGAAGTGGCGCTGGACTGGCTACAGCTGGGCACATAGCTCGAGAAACACATTGTTGTTGGTGACGAAAACCTCTTCAATGGAAACAGCGTACACAGATGACCTTGTGAACAAAAGTCATTTAGATGTTGAAGTCTCCAATACAAATGCATAACATATTGATATGTATTATCTTAAGATCATTCTTAACTATATGTTACGATAATAACTACTACAAGGTACTTAAAATATCTTTATTAACAGGTTCCATTGATAACTAATTCAACTAATGCAATATGACAGCTTTTCAATTTACCTACTACGTTTTTTTTCTACCTACATATCTAGTAAGTATATTACGTAATTTTGTCATTGTACCGAATGTAAAAACTATAGAAGCCGTAGAATTATGTTCCACATGACCAGGAGTTATTTAGGTGTGTATATTCAAGCGTTTTATGCTAATGAATTACTTAACAAAAATATTTATTTGTTAAAATAAATACGCACATAAGTAATTTAGACTAAGATACGTATTCAATTTTAGTTTCAAAAGATTATTCAAGATATGTTTGAATGAAAAGATTCAAGATTTATAGGCACTGATAATACAACGGACAGTCTGCTTCGTTGAAAATTGTGGGGTACCATTATAATACTTTGCACGATGTTGATATTAGCCTTAATGAAAGCTGAATCACAATGAAATGCATAAATCTTTTTGTGACAGTCATTCTTTTGAGTTGCGGTGGATAACTCTAGTAAAAAGATATGAGTCGATTCGAAGAACTCCGTGAAATTCACTATTCTTCATAATGTTCCCACATGTGGTTTTGGTCTCGTTCTTCTAATCCTAATACAAAACTCCTTTTAACTATACAGACTTAGTAACCATGTCTGGCGGACGGCGGACCGACAGTTAATGTTAGGGAATTCTGTAAATTGGGAGTACTGATACTAACCAGTGGGAGAACTTTATTTGCCGAATGAATGATCGTAGTAATCACGAAGATTGCCTTCCTGTAGCTCAATGTTGCTATTAAGTAAGTACTTATATTTTTTCTAGCCTCTGACTGAATCTGGATTTGCACCCTACACCGGACCATAAAATGAAGAGGACCCTAAAATGGTAAAAACATCACCTTTTTGGGCTGGGAAAATTGACTGTGACGTATGTAACAACGGGTAAAAATCTTCGAGAATTAATTATCTAGATGAATACAGATACATCTTTCTTCTCTGGTTCCTGCAATCTGAAGAAGTCATGATCGAAGTGTGTCCGTCAGACGGTAGGTAAGATGTCAGACAGTGGGTAAGATTTCAGACGGTGGGTAAAATGTCAGAAGTGGATAAGATGTCAGACGGTAGGTAAGATGTCAGACCGTAGGCAAGATGTCAGACGGTAGGTAAGATGTCAGACGGTAGGTAAGATGTCAGATGGTGAGTAAGGTGTCAGCTGGTGGGTATGATGTCAGCCGGTGGGTAAGATGTCAGACTGTGGGTAAGATGACAGCCGGTGGGTAAGATGTCAGCCGGTAGGTAAGATGTCAGACGATAGGTAAGTTGTCAGATGGAACTGTCATATGCAACTACTGTAAAGCGAAAAAAAGTGTTTTTTATTGTTCCAGCTTGTCAGCAACAAAAAATATTAGTTCAGATAATTCATTATAATCATCATCAACAGCCTTTAATAGTTCACTTTGCTTACTATACCACACAAGCCCGACGGGTTGGTATATGGTTTGTGTCAAGTTTTCCTTCTCTTTGCAGTGCTGTTGTCTTGCTAAGTGTACTCCCTTAGTCGGTTCTTACAACTTTGAATTTTTCAAATTTGAATAGGATCTTACAAGAATTATACCAAAAAAATTACAAATCAGTTTGTAAATGTTGGAGTTCAGATGTAACTAACATAAAAATAGTACAACTGAATTATAAATAATTTTTTTAAATCAGTTGCAAATTCCAATTGACTTTTATGTATTGCCAGATTTGTTGTTGGTTTAAACAGTCCTTGACAGATATTTAATGTATTGGATACATTATTTTATTGGGAAATGAGATATGTAATGGTTCTATAACATAGGCGAAGCTACAGGGTATACATTACTTTTAGTGGACATCTAAATAATGGAACTTTCGAATGGTGACAAGATTCTGCTTGTAAATGTGTCCACAAATGCCAGCAAGGAATGGGGGACACTTTGAATTCATTCAACATGAGATGCTTACGATCTTTTAAGGAGACTAAAGCAAAAACATTGTCAAAACCCGAATAATCTTAAATTATTTTTTGTTTCTTAGTTATAAGTACAAAAAAAAAAAAAAATATTTCATAAAATGTACAAAAATTAAAAAGTCTGTTTAATGATCATTTCCTGTTTATCATCATGTTCAAAAGAAAAGAACCCAGTAGCTGGTATCTGGGGGTTACTAGAGCTGCATAATAAGTGTGATTGAGCTTACAGCACAATAAAAAAATATATAATTTAATTAAAAAGGGATTTAAATTTAAAAAATTAACAACACTGTCCTAATTATTATTTATAAATATATTAATTATTTTTTAAAGCCGAACAGGATTTAAAAACGTTATTGACAAATCCTATTGTCTGATTATTGACTTGTGAATAACATTGGGATCAGTCAATAAAATTTTATACCTATTATTTATCAAGATAAGTGATAACACTGTTTGTGAATAACAAAAATAAACAAAGAATAGGTAAATACATGCTTAGGTATGTAAGTATATGCTTTTATTAATCCCCTATGCAAAGAGGTGTGTTATAAGTTTGACATGCCTAAATCTGTCTGTGGCATCATAGCTCTCGAACAAACAGACCAATTAGGATGCATTTTTTTATTGAAAGCTAACATGATCAAACTGGTTATAAGCTGGCTAAGCTATAATTTGTGAAAATTAGTGCATGTCTTAGTTAATGAAGAGATTTCATTGACTTACACAACTGTAATTGATAAGCCATACCTTGGCTGGTGTTGGGGGTGTTCCAAACTATGAATAGTGTTATTTAATAATACCGTATCCATGCCTGTATGTGTCCTCTGTATAGGGATACAGAGAACAGGTACAGCCATGGATGCAATATGTATGTAAAATATCATTATTTATATTAATCAATTAGGGATTATGTAATAAAATTATGATCAAATTGAAACAAGACATAAATTTTATTGGTATAATATGTAAGAAATGCTACTCAGTGAACTTTGAACCTATTATATCTGATAATTCACTATACAACACTTCTCTGTATTCAGTGATCTGCTAATTTCATTAAGTGACCCAATGTTTGAATTTATAGTTAGGGAATTACTGATTCATTTACAATTTAATGAAGACCAACGGTTATGTTAATTTGAATTGTAGTTCAGCTGTAATATGGTAGCAATGTTTCTTAAAGTTGGGAAATATAACCTCAAATTGTGATAGTAAAGTTAAATGTGTTTATTTGCGGTACAATGAGGAAATCATCACTCATCATCACACATTGCTAAACAAATACAGGAAAAGTACAAACACTGCATTCTGTAATTGTCTATGAATACATAACCTCATTTTGAAATAAAATTCAATTTGTTTGTCAAAATAAAATATTGGTATAGCTTTTGTATATTATGTATTTTGAAGTTTTTCACAAAGCCAAATTAAATTTACATAAATACAATTTAATGATAATTTTTATACAAGATGTAAATAGTACACAAAAGATTCACAGTGAAATCATGCCGATCATACTTAAACTTGAAATTAATATCTAAAATGCATCAACTCTGCTATGTAAAAAAATTTAATTATACTGCGGTATCACTAATAATCAGTGGACTGACAATCATTTTATTAAGCATTACATTTTGCACACATAAGATGGTGTTCCATAAGACTTACAAAGGTATCGAACTTTGTGACAGTAAACACTATCCATTGTATAAAATTAACCAAATTTGTAACCATGAAATATATACATTTAAGTGTCCTGATACTTGTTTTATTCGCTATTAATGATAGTAAAAAAATATGCATACCTAATATTGTAACGAAGCTATATGTGAACAATGACCTGTGGGATTGTCGGACCGCTCCGAGACAATAAGGGCGAGGCTACGAGAAATGCGGGATAATAACCTGGCAGTGAGGCCGGGCAGCGCAGCCAACGCGCCACCCACCTCTCACCTATAATAAAAATGTATCCACAATTGTCTCTTCACAAGTTACTCGGTCTAGGGTGTATAACATAACTTGCACTCTTAAAATCATGATATATGTTAGTTCCGTCCTCGTGTCCCGCGCGTCGGGGAGGCACTGGTGTGAGAGTGCTCTGCGGCACGGGCGCTCAGTTGTCCATGGCGTATCTCCGCGTCCACTCCTTAGCATTTCGGATCGCCTCGCTCTCGTTCACCTTCCACAGTTCAGCCACGTCGTTAGCCAGCGGGTCGTCGGGGTTCGGCGCTGACAGTAACGCCTGAATCGAGAGCAGCACTGTGCGAATTTGCAGTGCAGGGCTCCATTTATCCTTCAGTATATCCAAGCATATACGACCAAGCCGGTCTATATTCGGATGGTATATTTTAGTTATAAACCTAACCTTAGGTGCTGACATGGGATAGTCCTCTGGCAGAAATAATTCTAATTTGAACAGTCCTCCTTCGAACGGCGAGTCTTCTGGGCCCGTCACGATTACATGAAAATAACGAGCATTTGTATCACTTGGTACGGCGCTGATTCCCGGCACCGGCTCCTGCATCAATCTTTGTGTTTCTTTGATTATTCTACGTGGTAGGGCTGCCATTTTAAATATGCGGTCTAGCGCAATTTGTCAAATGAAAGCAAGTAATCATATAATAGTACAAAATATCTAATCGTCCTTTCACTCTATGTTTTTACGACGATTACTGAGGCACGTCTTCAGAATTTGCGAATTACAACTGCATTTTAGCCATGATATTGCTAAAAACGCGACTACAAAAGCGAAGGTACTACAATTTTTGAACATAGACAATATAGAATTTCGTATCATAGAGAACACGTGCAGTATAGAAATGGATGCGTTTGTGATTGTATTTATGATCTTTCGGTAAATTACGGTTTTCGAAAAATATGTTTTTAATTTTTTTAAATATAAATGAATTCCATATTTTATTGAGAAATAAAAACACATTTAATTATCGGATAGGTCTCTACTATGAAGGTTTCTGAAATTCTGAGACAGGAAAGTGACATCTCGGTATGCACATGAAAATAAAAATCGCAGTCAAACTAAGGTAGTTATTTAGTTTACCGCTAGATGTCACTATTCTACAATATTTTTTAAATTGGTTAAGGGAAATTAGAACAACTGTGGTATATATCTTTTTATCGTGTTTAAACCCACACAAGTTTGATAACTTGTGTAGGTTTCCACCCACCGTGACCTCCGGTGAGGATCACCAGGTCACGGTGAAGTGATATGTCGAAATAAAGTCGACTAAAACCACACGGTGTTCCGTCTATGGATGGAAGACCCCGAGATACGAGTCGTAGTAGGCGAATATCTATACCTTTATATAAAAATGTTATTTTGGTTTGTGTACGCTTAAAAAACTCAAAAAGTTCTGCACGGTTTGAGCTAACACGATATGTATCCGCTTTAAAAATTGGTTTCTATTTTAGTTTTGTTCTTCATTTATCACCAATGCAACTACAATATGTCACAGCGAAACGTGACAGGGTAGGTACAGCTAGTATGCCATTCAAATACTTTAATTTTCGAAAGAGAAATCGAAATGACTCGAAAATGTACGAGCGTGGCAAATGTTTATACTAGCATTTTCTAGAATTAAATGGAAATAGGTAATTATTTTCTAAGGAGAGGCCTATGTCCAGCAATGGACCATTAAAAGCTGTTGATGATGTAATTCCTCACATTGACTGTTGCGTGTTAAGAGATGATGACATTGAAGATCGTCTGTGATTTTAAAAGGTATTTCTTTAATTGAAAGTTTTCATTTAAAACATGGTGAATTATAGAGAAGAATAGAATTTGGGAAAAAGGCAAGAAGATGTTGTTGAGGCATGCGACAAATTTCAAATGCACACGCAAGGTGTTTAAAGAATTAAATAAAATAAAAAAATTACCTTTTTATTTTATTCTTACAACGACGACACTTGATACGTGTCGCTTTAAATATAGTCAACAAATAATCATTTTATAAAATAACAAGTTTTTTATTTTACACTTTGTGTCTTCGCACCGAGTAACAACAAATGATAAAAGGGTGGTGAAATCATTTAATATCGTGCGCGGCAAATCGGAGCGAAAAACACATTTATATTTTTCCTGCCTCCATTTTCTTTGACAGCTGTTACTCGCTGTGAGTTTGTCTAGATAGAAGCTCTGGATATTTTTATCATAATACTGAAATCTTTCCGCATGTTAGTTCTATTGTACAGGAATTTTATTACTGACTATTCTGTGTGTTGTTTCTGAATACGGATTACATTTTTTCTTTTGACATTTCATAGATTACATATTCATCATTGTATATTAGATTTTTGCCAATAGCTTCCAGGGACCGTAGACATGAGCATTTGATATTATAGTTATGAGTTATTACCTTCACGTGTTCATGAAAAAAAGGATTTTTAGCAGACACGGACTGGCATCGATCTAATCCTATGAGGGAGCCTTCCCTTTTTCCTTTTCAGGACCCTAACAATACAGTATTAATCTAGTTGTAAAAAAAACAATGTGTACTTATAGGGAAATCTATCCGTGTCTTAATACTCATAGTACATGATATGACTAGTTTCAGTTTACATAGCCCTGTGTAATATGACACTTTTTCATAGTTAAACAAAGTTTACACAAAGCAATATAGACACTATCATTATATTTATTTGATAAACTGAATACACTAGTCCACTTTCTTGCACAAAACCCTGTCAGGTGTCAATAACAAGCTATTATACTTACGTAGCACTAATTGCCAAACTGTCTATTCTACGTGATTGACACGGTTTGATGAGCTTTAGAATCAATTTACCTGACTATTAATACTGATATTAATAAGTTTTACTATTAGATGTGTCCAGGGGACTTTGTTGGTTGTATCCAAACAGAACAGACCAAAAGACGCTCCGATTTCTTCTTTTAGAACGACTTATATTCAGGTGGAATACAAGTCGTTCTAAAAGAAGAAATCGGAGCGTCTTTTGGTCTAAGATCACTAAATACTTAAAGTAACTACTGATTTAAAAGATTATATAAAAGTCTGTGTTGTTCTTTGTCACTTTTTTGTCCCCGAAGGGGAAGACAGAAGCGAATTAAACGCCCACATTTTGCCAACGATAATGTTAGTGCTAGTGACTTAATATGGAGTAAGTCTACATATTTATTTCTAAAGAAAATTACTTGTGTATTTAAAAATAACATTTAAAAGTAACACCTAAAATACAGAACATACCATCGTGCTTATCACACATTATTTGTCCTGAGTGGGAGTTGAACCCCGAAACCTCTGGTTTAGCTGTCAGAGTCGCAAGACCAAAAGACCAACAAGACCAAAAGGCCCGTCTGTTTTAGTAAAATATTTGTTGTTGGACACAAGTGTGGGCTTGGTACCGATATGATTATTTCCTCGTCAATTGGTCGTTGATGTGGTTTTATAATCTTATTTTGAGGTCTAGAAGCTATACAAGGAAAAACAACAAAAAAAATATTTTTCCATTTACTTACACAATGTAATCTGCTATTTCAACAGGTCTCTCCATCTCTCCGACAGCCGTGATCGTCTAGTGGTTAGGACCCTACGTTGTGGCCGTAGTAACCCAGGTTCGAATCCTGGTCACGGCAGTGTTCGCACTGTCACGGAGGAGAGTTATTTTTGTTGTTTATTTTGTGTTTTTAAAATATATTTTTTAACTTCTTACTATTTTATGTAAATGTTAGTTCTGTGTTTTTTCTTTTTTTTTCCTTAAACCTGTATTTGACATAATAAGTATATTAGCTAAATTTTTTTTATGTATTTCACGTGACCACAAGTGAGTTTTAGTAACAATGCATTTATATTCAAGCACAATACAAACAAAAATACAATACATAGTTATTATTCATAAAAGAAAATTGAGCAAACTAAAATTTGAAAAAGTCTTGGTACTAGACAAATATATTACATTAATAGTCCTACAAAAAACTTTTCCTAAGTCAATTAAAAAAAAAAGGCATTGTGCGCTCCACTAAACAATGATAGATGGAAGATGGTGACACGCAGTATTTTTTGTCTCGCGCCTTATTTAGAGCTATGAGAATACTTAGTTTGTTGTAGTGTTTTATTTAAGATGACGACCGGATGGCGTAGTGGTTTGTGTAACCGACTGCTATTCCAAAGGTCGCGGGTTCGATTCCCGCTCAAGTCAAACATTTGTGTGCATGGATATTTAATGTTTGATTTGGTCTGGGTGTTTCTATGTAAAATAAGTATGTATTTACGAAAAAAAGTATATATGTATTTATATCAGTTGCCTAGTAGCCATAGTACAAGCTCTTAGGACTAGATGGCGTTGTGTGAATGTGGTAGAAAATTATTATTATTATTCTCTTTACTAAATTATATATACATATTAATTACTAAGGGAGCAAACTACGCAGGACAACAGCACTGCAAAGAGAAGGAAAACTTGACATAAACCCTATACCAACCTCCTCCTCCTAAGGAGAAAACCTCCTTCCTAGGGAGAAGCCAATATCCAGCAGTGGACTATTAAAAGCTGTTGATGTGTGATATGATTTTTAAACAGAATGTTGGTTTTTTTCTTGCTTCGTACGGTGATATTACAAAAAAAAAACCTGTACGATTTTTAAAATTGTCTTCCATAGAAACCGTGTTTTGACAATAACGTATAACAAAAAAATATTTTATGGTAAAACTATTTATCTAAATCCGTCATAACGTATATATCAGCAATTGAGTTTTATTTTTTTATTTTTATTTCACTGGCCAAGCCTTTAAGGTGTGTTTAAAGTGTTGTTCAAAGTTTCTTTATGGTAATTAATAAATAAAAAGTTAGAAAAGAGGTACAAGTATTTTAATTTACAAGCGCCTTAACTCTTAAAAGTCAAAGAAATAATTCAAAACACAATTATTAATGCTAGTCATTGTGAATATTAAATGAACAAAAAATAAAAAGATCTAATCGTACAAGAAAAAAGCGACTTTATTTTATAATATGTAAGGATTCCTCTTTTTTCTTTTATGGAAGAGGGGCAAACGAGTAGACGGGTGACCTGTTTGAAAGTGACTACCGCCGACCATGAACGCCTGCAATCGGAAGTCACAAGCGCGTTGCCGGCCTTTGAGGAAGTCGTATCGGTCCGGGAATGTGCGAGGCAAAGAGTGTCTTGAAAAGCGCACAGTGATATATCTCGGAGAGTGGAAAATTAAAAGATTAATACAGCTACAGCTTATTCTTGAGTAAAATTAAAGTCGGTTATACTATTTTATAAGATTAACTAGCTGACCCGGCAAACGTTGCTTTGGCTAAAAAAAATTTAGGATGAGTCACCCTTACCATTTAGGGGTATGAAAAATAGATGTTGGCGGATTCTCAGACCTACCCGATGTGCACCGGTCAAGCCGTTTCGGAGGAGTACGGGAACAAACATTGTGACACGAGAATTTTATATATAAGATTTATTCATATCACACACTCACAAAATATATTTTTTAAGTTATAACCCATGTGTGCCGTAAATTAAAATTCCTAAAGTGTTTTGATTACCTACCTAAAAGAGGTAGCCTCTTTTCCCACCAT